GGCGGCGGCGCCGCCGAGGAACGAGAGGAATCCGGAGCTATTGGGCTCCTGATCGTCGAGAAACAGATCCTCGGGAACGCGAAAGGCGCCGTGCGCGCAAACAATCGCCATTCCAACCATGAGAGCGGAGATCAGCAAGGATCCGACGCTGGTGAGGAAAACGACGAAGACGGTGAGCACAACGAGGATCCCTAGGGTTTCGCGATCGGCGAAGGTGCGGCCGAAGAGCACGAGAGGCTGATCGGAGGGACGAAAGAGATAGAGGAAGCACCACGAGGCGAGGAGGCCGAGGAGGACGAGGAGCGAGAACGGATGCGTGATGAGCGACACCGCGAGCGCGAACACGATCAGCGTCAGGTAGTTCACGCGGAAGTAGGAGAAGTTCTTGCGGATCCGCGAGTACGCTTCGGCGAGGGTTTCAGGCCGCGACATGGAGGTCCGGTCGATCATCTCCGACCATGGGCGGCGCTGCGCGAAGGCGTGGCGGAGGGAGGAGGACATGCGCGAGATGAAGGCGCGGAAGGCTGGCGTGGCGATGGGAGGCTGGGACTGCGAGGCGGCGGCGGCGTTGGATTGGGAGGAAATGGGGAGTGTCGGTGGTGATGCCATGGTGGCGCGTGAATCTCCAATTGCCGCGCGTGACTATGGGAGAACCGATAGAGGGAGCGAAGGGCAATGGAGACTCTCTGGTTTGGTTGGGCCTTTTGGGTTTGGGAAAATGAGAGGCTTTCTTATTCCTATGTTAATATGTTATGCTTTTCCTTTCTTCAAAAACTAACTCTCTATTTCCTAACGTGGGATACCCATGGCCATGGGCCGAATCTCTTGCCGGAATAACCTAATTATGTCAAAATTAATTCCCTAAATAATCACTTAAGATGTATAAATAATAACCCAAGGCCACGCCACGCACCGTTTTCATTTTCTTTACCTGGCTCGACTCTATGGATTTTAAAATCTCTGTTTCCTAATAGAGAAATATTTTTAATTATAATTTATAATTCATTATATTACTTATAGAAATGGAATCTTGATTAAAAACATATAATTGTTCGATTAACCATTTTCTCTCATTTGCTTTTAATTGTGCAAATTTAGTCTTAAGCTTTTTCTCAAATACCAATCATGTCCCTCTCTTAATATGTTTGTTAATTATTTAACGATTTTTAGTCACGTGATTTTTTAGAAATGACATGATTAATTGATGATGTTGGGATATATATCATATCTGGTGCTAATGTGACTATATGACACCCATGTGGTTGCGCATCTGGTGTTGATGCTTAAGTGACAAATGAAAATTTGATTAAAAAATTAATGAAAATGTGATTAAGAAATTATTAAAATGTGTTGAAAGTGAGGGTTAAATCCATGGGTTTTTATCTATGTAATAAGGAATTTAGTACAAGAAAAGTTTTTATTCTTTCAAAAAAATTGACATTGATTTAGTTTGTTATTTAAAAATAATATTACAAAAATAAAATTTTAATATAATATAAATATTATATTACCTATATTTATTTGTTTCATACAATAAAAACATCATATTAGGAAAGACACATTGGATCACAATTTTCCTAACTAATAAAAATAAATAGATTTATTCAATTGTGTCATTTTCGTGAATATATCATTGGTTCTCTTATTATATTTATAAATATTCTAAAAATACTTATGATTAATTAAATAAATTTTAATCATTTTTAAAAATTATAATTCTCAAGATTCATAATCTCAATAATTATATAATTTTCAAAAATAAAAAATTTCGTTGTGCTTCAAACACCTCCTATAGTTAAATTTTTTAAGTTACCCAATTACATAATCATTTATGGATGGAGACGGAAAGCGCACATATTTTTACTGATATTATTCTTATTAAGTAAAAATATAATATTATAAAAGCAAACAAATAATATTTTTCACTAAAAAATAATAATTATTGAAAATTGAAAAACCGAAATAGTATAATTGCAATAATTAATTAATTAAAAGTAGAATTGAGCATGTAACTTTTTATTTAATATAAATTAAATTATTTGTATATTTTACGTTATTTTGTTTAAAAGTTATATAGAAAATTAGAAAAAATAAAAATCAATATTTCCTATAAAATAATTTCAAACAATATTACCTTCAAACATTTAAGGTGTTGATTTTTTATTTTTTCTATGATTATACAGTTAATTAATAAAAAAATATTGTTAATATAAATTTTAAGATAAATATTATAAAAATTACATTTTATTATTTTTATAATATTTATCTCGACTAATTAGCAATGTGGAACTATTTTTTGACCAAATAACTTTAGGAGCACGTTAAGGTGTTGATTAGTTTTTAATTTATTTTTATTTTATTTGGTCAAGTATTTTCCGCACCTCTAATGAATTGGACGAAATTATGTTATCCTTCTGCCACTTCGAACTTCGAAGTTGGAAATCCATTGAATTATTAGGATTAGAAAACCTAAAAACACATCATATCCAACTCCATGCTTATGAGAGTGTTTATGGTGGAATTCGTTTTATGGGTTCTTTTTACTCGGACTAGCACAGTTAATGTTTCAATTCAGGTGCTTTATATCTTGTGATTTTATGAAAGACAATATACAGCTTTAATGATTACTTGTCTCTAGATATTCGTTAAGTATTATCAAGCAATAATGTTCGTACATGTAAATACTTAAACGTACATAATGAACAATACGAACATCAGCAATGCAAATCATGATTCATTTCAGATAATGTCCAAGCATTACAAGGTTTACAGTCTATAAATGCGGAATTAAAAGGAGAAAATAGAAAAAGGGAAAAGATTACACTAACTCTAACTCTATTCCTAAAAAGAGAAAAGGAAAGTGGCCAAGAAATGATCATACCCAAAGATGATTCCTCGCATGGAAGCCATATGTGCAGGCAGAGAATGCTTTAGAATTTGTTTAAAGTATGAGTTTTCCGACCTTTGTTAAGGTGCGTAGTACTTGTATTTATAGAATTAATTAGGGGCAGTTAATTTCATGCACGTACATCATTAGGGGATAACCGCTGCCCACTATGCTCACCACGTGGTTTTAACTTGTAACTTCTCATAACCGCTTATCTCACGTAAATTAACTTCTCGACCCAGTCGTTAACTCTCCTTGTATGACCGTAAGTACTTTGCACCATGTTACTATTTTTCGAGCACATCGAATGTCCCATTTCAAACAATTACCCATTCGTTCATTGGTAGACGCGTGCCTTTATAATCTCTTTCGAGGAATCTTGCAAATATTTCGACTCGTTCGTCTTCGAGTTGCCCCAACAAATGCCCCCCTAGGAATTCGATCTTGAAGTGTATGCTGATCGGAGAGATTCGAATTCCTATAAAGACTTGCTTTGATTACTTACTTGTCAATCGAAGTACGCCTCTTTCGATGATACCCTATTCTGACTTGTACTTGAGTTTGCATTTAATGTACCTGACCGTTGAAGCGACATTGATGGCAAATACGGCGCGTGTGTCCGTTCTTTTTCTATTATTAAAATATCCTGGCGCCCATGTATAATTTTTTACTTTTGACGCTTATGATTTACAGGCCCATTTTACCTCAAGCCCATCAAACTCCTTTTACCCTAAGGTAAACTTCGTATTCACCACTTCTTTCCTTGGCGCCCAAGTCTTTCTTTGCCACTTCGTTTTCTCCAGTTTCTGAATCTTCTTCTCCGGCGAACTCTGTACTCCTCGGTTTCTTCATTCTTCCATTCTTTGCTCTTGTTTTGATGGCTTCTTCTGCTGCATCCACCTCAGCTGCCGTAGCCTCTTCAATGTCTCCTACTACCACCACTTCTTCCCCTATTTTGACTGCTACTACTTTTGCTGCCATGACCACCACTCTTGTAACCACTATGGCCACCGTAACTACTACCCAGGGCACTCCTCTACTAATGGCTGGTGCTCAAGTTCAAAAGGTCAAAGAGGGTGATGACACTTTCATTCCAATTCCAGGCATGGAGGAGGCTAGTTTGAAAATATACCAATCTCAGGTACTTCTTCCTTTTTCTCTAGCAAATGGTTCTGTTCATGCTTTCCTTGGTCCTTTTGCTGGCCAAAATACCAAGAGATATGGTAATACCCTTTTGCCTGAGGACTCCACCACCCTACCTTTCATTTATTCCTCAGAAATAGACCTAAACCTTTTTGGGGATACTACCAAAATTTTTAGAGCGTTTCCCCCCGTTAAAGAAAGGCACCTCTCTTGGTTAGCTCGTGTAGAGGCTTCTATGTCCTCAGAGTGGAAAGAAACAGGTATTTTTGAGTTTATCCAACTAGCTAAGTTCGACCTCCATCTTTTCGACCCTCAAATGCTCCTTTCTGCTATCTTCTTCTGGAATAGAGAGACTCGGGCTTTCGAGTTTCCTTGCGGCTTCATTTGCCCGACGTTGCTTGATGTTGCTGCTATAACGGGGTTAATGCCTATTGGAGAGAGGTTTTATCCTGACGCCTTTGAAGAGGAAATTTCGATCAAGGATACTTCAATTTCTTGGGATAAGAAGACCTATTTGGCTTTTATTAACGCACATATGGGACAGCCTGGCACGCCTGTCTCACCTTCAGAGCATATTGCCTTTCTTATGTACTGGTTGTCCGCCTGTGTCTTTTGCACTCCTTCGCTTCAAGTCCCAAAATATTATTACAATTTAGCTCAGGCTCTTCATTTGCAAAGAAAAATTTGCTTAAGCAAACTTCTTCTGGCCTCTCTTTATACTTGTCTTGATGAAGCTTCCGAAAGTCTTGCTCGAGAATCTGGGCCTCGAAATCTCTCTGGCCCGTTATGGCTACTTCAACTTTGGCTCAACGCGCTATTGGAGAAGAAACTTCATTTGCCCTCAAAACCCATTCCCATATGTGAACTCGAAGGAGCTCGTTTAACAACCCTTACCCCTCGAAAGCGTCTGGTAGACAATTTCGAGAAATATATTAGAGCCATCCTTAGCTTCACTGACTTCACTGAAGATTTAGCCCCTTTCATTCGACCGAATTTGATAGGTCCTACATGGTTGCGTCAAAATAATCAAGTTGGTAGCATAAGTCCAGCCTCAACTGCCTGTGGTTTGGATTCTTGTCCTGGGATGTGATCATGTCGGGTATGAGGCAAAAAGATGTCAGACTTTATCCTTATCAGCCCCAACTTTTTGCTTGACAGTTTGGGCTTTGCCAAATGAAACCTCTTCCCCTTCGACGTTTTTCTTTTAAAAAAATAAGAATAAATTACACTTTTTTAAAAAAAAAATTATATTTAAAATTACAATTCTCTCTTTTGATAGATTTTAATGTATGACACTTTACTCATTTTTAAATTCTTTATTAAACTTCCATTAATTATCATTGCAAAAAAAAGTTATTAATTAAATATCCTTTATGCTAACATCTTCTCAAGGATATAACTATTATACTAATTTTCTTTATTAAGTTAAAGTAAATATATTTTTTTAAATAAATACGAATGTGGAAAGTTGAAGACTCTTAGGATTGGAAACCTAAGAAGCTAAGGAGCAGAGAAGAGGTTTTGCGCCGGGCTCAATATAACCTGCGCTGGGCGTGACAAAAACAGAGTATTTCATCTCTGCCAGTTATATTGCGCCGGGCACAAAAGGAATTAAGCCGGGCGCAAAAGGAATTAAGCCGGGCGCAAAACTTTCATGTCGTCATATGAAGAGACTCACCAACATGTTTCAATTTCTCCACACAATATGATGTCAAAAGCAAACATAATTGATAAAAGACATTTGTTTGCAACAACTTCAAAGGATTTCTTTACAAACTTATTTAGAGTTGATTTTACGACTTCATCTCCAACATACGTCTTACATGCAATCTCTTTACCAACCGAATTTTGCTAATGAACTTGGTAGTTCCTTAGTTGCATTCTAACATCCGGTCCTTGATGATGATCAAAATCCTCCAAAGCAACAATTACTACGACGAAACCCAAGATGTAACAGACGTCGCCCTCGTTGTGGAACTGAGGATCATTACGAAGATTAAACATTATGTAATTCACTTTATCTTCATGTAATATTATTATGAATTTTTTAATGCACTCTGTCTTTATCAATGTAATAATTAAGTTATTTTATTTAAACAATAACTAAGTTATTTTATTCAAATAATAATTAAGTTATTTTATTTAAATAATAATTATCATATTAATATTAAAGATTATTAACACACATTTAAATAAATATATAAACATAATATTATTTATTATTTTATATACAAATTTAATTTCATTGTAATAATAATTTTTTATTTTTAATATTTTTTAACGTTAAATTCTTATTGTAAGTAAAAACAAAATTTTTAGAAAAAAAATATAAAATCCCTGCTTAGAATTCGACTCTTCGATGAACGAATTTTGGTAAGATTACTCATCGGAGATGGAGGAAAGGCAGTTCAGAATTCGGCTCCTTAGAGATTGATTTCTGAGCTACTCAATAAATAGGTCTAGTTCTATAAATAAATAGAATTTATTTGGGTAATTTTTTTTAAAAAGTGTTATTTTCGTAAAAATTTCCTCATACTGCCACCAATTTTTTTCCTCATTTATCATGTCTTTATTCCTTAATTTTATGGCATGCTATTCATTGGAATTTGGCGTGTATGGGGATGACGGTACAACGACAAATCAAGAGCTACTTTTCTTTTTGTCCGGGTAACATAAAACAAAGAGTAATAATATATCTTCTGAAATTGCGAACTTCCAAATTATTTGTGATTAACATGTATAATTTTTAAAACTATTTATTTAGAGGTAATTTCTATTTTTACATACACAATTTTTAAATTACTTTATTTAAAAAATTTTAATAATAAAAAATGATATTAAAATTAAAATCTGAAATCTTAAAATTCAAAAGCTAAACACAACATAAATTAATTCAAAAAAATATGAATAATTATTAAACATCTATAAATAATATAAAAGTGAAGTTTTACCCACTAATAGAATATAAATTTAATTAAAAAGAAAGAAGTTTTTTAAATGATGAGAAGATCATTTAAAAAGAAATAAGTTTTTTAAATGATGAGAAGATCATTCGAAATAAGCATTCGGAAGATTAGCATTTTTCTAAAATAAATCATTGCACCTTTTCCGTAGAAAGATCGGTTGCGGCTGTATACGTAAGATAGAATGTGACAAAAATAGCAACATAAGAGAATTTGGAGCTGAAATAATAATAATAGTAGTAGGTTTTAGTATAGGTCTCAACTTTTAATTATTCAATTGTATTTTTTTGGAATTGTCTCCATACTTTTAATTTGTGTAGGCAAATTTAATGCTTTTTCTTTTATTTCTTTTAGGGTAAATTTGGTGTTTTCCTTGCTATAATAACACTAGAAATTAAAAACTAATTATGAGGCTTCTTCGTCCCACTTGGTTTATAGTAAATGTCGTTTTTGGGTCTTTGGGCCATCCCCGAATCAAAAAGAGAAAAACCAAAAGATAGTTATTATATATATTCGATTGTTTGGAATATTTAATTAACAAATAGAGTAAATGGAAACAATTATTTGAGATTTATGTTGTTTTTCTCTCCCCACGGTACCCAAAATATGAGAGAATGGAAGTGTATTACCTTTTTTGCCGTTTTATCCGTTTAAAAATTATATTTTTAATTAATTTTAGCTTTCTATTATAGGAAATAAATATCTTTATAAAAAATATTCTTTTAATTTTTCCTTTGTTTTTGAAAATATTTTTCATATTTCAAAGGAAATAAAAATCTACTCATTTTCCCATCTATTTGTATCTAACTACCATATTCTTATTTTTTTTCTTTTTCATCAATTTAACCTCAACTATTTGGATTCAGGGCTCTTCTATTTGCAGTTTTAGTTAGTATACTAAAATTTTTTCAAGAAAAATAAATAAATTTAAGGTAAAAAACTTTGAAAAACAATATGATTTTTTTCACAACTTGAAAAACAAATTTCACAAAACAAAAAGGAAAATATCATTGCAAGTATATTTATTTTAAAAGTCTATCTAAACATAACTTTAATCTCAAAACCATTCTATTTTGAGAATTACGACTAACAAATATTTATATATTTTTGTTGAATAATTCTATTGCTAAGGTAACGTAATTTGAACTCTCTTTTTTGCATGCCTGTGTCTCTATCAATCAATGGAAAGGGAGAAATTAGTGTAAATAAACATGAAAAAAAATCCACGTAATATAATAATAACACAACACAGAGAAACCCCTTAACTAATTAGGGTGGGTCACACAAGGAAACATCGAAATATAAAGTTTCTGAAATATCAAATCAAGTCTTGGTCCCACATAACTGAAATCCCACTCAAGAACGTACAATCAAACACACCATATATAATATGAAAGTCTTGAACAAAAAAACAAAAAGGCAAACCAAATCTGAAAGATAGTATGATGCACCGCCGTGAAGAACTTGAAATATATAGGAACATGAGCCCAATGAAGGACCACTGAGCTTAAATTTCCTGAATATATAATTAAATTAGGCATGCCACGTTAGAAATTCTCCAATAATCATACCAAAAACTTACCCAACTTGAGAGCAATTCACAGTAGGAAATGAACATATACTAGTTCAAAAAAAATTATATGGGTACGTACTAAGCTAAAGGATAATCTAAAGTGAATATAACATAATATTAAGAATAATTCAAAAGTCTCCTAATACTCATCATCTTATTTAATATTTTATTTGTAAGGCAATAGAACAATTTTTTTTTATCGATTAAACTTACGATAACAACAATAAAATTTGAGTTTAAGATTATGGGTAAACTATTACATGTAGTCGATATAGAGCCTTTGGAAGAAAACGTAAATGAACAAGATGCACGTTGATTAAGCATTGACAAACAAAAAGTCAATGAGCTAATTGAATAAAAAATGGTGGATCGTTAATGTTCAAAAGTTGGTCCGAATTATTGAAGAATTAATGCGATTGAGAATGAGCCGAGAGTCATTGGAAAAAGACAAAAGTGAGAGATGTTGGATAGAAAAAAAGTGATAGATGTCACGTTGAGTTGAGGGAAGAGAAAAGTAATGAATTATGAAGAAATAGCAGTCTCACTCATCCAATATCTACCAGAGACTAAATAACCTATAAATAAAAAAGTTTGCTTTCACCAGTTTACACATGGTTGAAGCCTTCAAGCAATATTTGAGTTATATAGTATAATGTTCAGGGCTACAAAATTAATTAATTGGCTTGAGGAGATCAAGAAATTATTTTTAATTAGATTTTAAAAAAATTAGGGGAGCTCCCCTTCACTCCAATGCGTGAATCTACATACTAAATTGAGGTGAATCATTGTTGCAACAAGAAAAATCGATGTCACAATTTTACCGTATATAGAAGGGGATGCAACAGTAGAAATTTTGACAAGGCGTGGTTAAACAAGTTAGGGGAATGAAATGATTGCTCGAGTTTAAGAAAAGAAAAAGGGACGGAATCTTGAGTTTGCAATTGTGTCCCTGATTTGATAGGCGTATAGTATAGGATTAGGAAGGAAAGGACACGATTTTCCTTTCAACTACGTGCGAATAACAGCAAACAGAAATCTCGTAAGAAGGAAAAGGAAAAAGAAAAAGAAAATCACCTTATGATGTTCTTCATTTCTTTTTCGTTGGAGGGTCTGATGAGTAGGAAAGGTCAGATTGAATGGTGAACGTATAGTTCTTCTTCACTGCCTTAGGCTTATCACCACTTTGTTTGGGTTTCTCTGTTGGTTTTTTGGGGGTTGAATAACTTAAACTTGCTTGAAGGTCGTTAGGCCCAGCCATTTGGAGAAAGAGGGGAATTAAATGGTGGGAGTCCAAGAAAACACCAGAGCAATTAGGGTTGGGTAAAATTCAAAACATGCCGCATTATCCAGGTTTTTTTATTTAATTATTGTAAAAAATTTGGTTCTCACAGAAAAATTGTTTCAACGCCAAACTTTTCCATCAACTGTCTTCAGTGGAGCCTCTTTCAAAGAATACATTTTATTTTAAAAACTTAAATTTGTACATGATTTTAATTTTAATTTTATATTTATTTTTTTAAAACCTATGGTTTATCAAATAAATTATATAATTGTGTAAATACTTTTTATGAAAGGCACCAAGAATTAATGTTGCATTTCATAAGGATTATTATATTTAGAATTAATTTTGTAAAGGTCTTTTATATAGTACAAATACTTATTTATTGTAAAAAAAAAAAATTAACTTCTATAATAATATAAAATATTTATATTGACAGTCCATGCCTATTAATATTTTAGGCAAGTACTATCTATTTTATTTAATTTAGTATACTCTTTTGAGTTTTCACACTTTTTTTTTATTGGTTGAAAATCATAAAATATGGTAAGTACTAGTCCTACACTCTATTTAAAGAATCTTTTTTGCAATATTATAATTTTTAAAGAATTTTATTTAATAAAAAAGTGTGTTACGATAGGTGTATTTACTTTCTCCTGTATCTCCTATCTCTCTCTCACACACACTCTCTCTCCCTCACTCTTTTTTCTTTTTACCTTACTTATTGTATTTATATTTATTTTCTTTCTTTACTTTTTCTCTATCTTCCACCTTTTCATTTGGCTAGTGTGACACCCTTACTACCCCAACACATATTTTATAATAATATAAATAAAACTAATGAATAAATTTTTCAACGTTGATAAAAATTGTTCACATAAAAACTTTATAACTGTTCTTCAATATCTAAAATAATTGAAAATAAAACTTGGAAAATAAAACTTAAGAGTTTACAAATTGTTTTCAAAATAATAAATACAACTCCAAATCCATATAAAAATCCATGTCCTAGAAATTCTCTGCCCTGATGTCACAATATCAGAGCATACTCACAATTCAACTGTTGGCATTCTAGATGCCACTCATAGCCGGATCTTTCTCACCTAAAACATCCACAAATTGTACGGTGAGAAAAGAAAACATCTATATATATGTAAAGTACACAAGGAAAAACCACAACATAACCTCATCATAACTCATTACTTAATGAAATATTTACAAGCATTTCTATATATCCTAATTCTATCAATCATGCATCATCTTCACATCACAATTCACAATCACACCAATTCATCACAAATCTTGCAACTAACACTATGCCCACCAAGAATTAATGTTGCATTTCATAAGGATTATTATATTTAGAATTAATTTTGTAAAGGTCGTTTATATAGTACAAATACTTATTTATTGTAAAAAAAAAATTAACTTCTATAATAATATAAAATATTTATATTGACAGTCCATGCCTATTAATATTTTAGGCAAGTACTATCTATTTTATTTAATTTAGTATACTCTTTTGAGTTTTCACACTTTTTTTTTATTGGTTGAAAATCATAAAATATGGTAAGTACTAGTCCTACACTCTATTTAAAGAATCTTTTTTGCAATATTATAATTTTTAAAGAATTTTATTTAATAAAAAAGTGTGTTACGATAGGTGTATTTACTTTCTCCTGTATCTCCTATCTCTCTCTCACACACACTCTCTCTCCCTCACTCTTTTTTCTTTTTACCTTACTTATTGTATTTATATTTATTTTCTTTCTTTACTTTTTCTCTATCTTCCACCTTTTCATTTGGCTAGTGTGACACCCTTACTACCCCAACACATATTTTATAATAATATAAATAAAACTAATGAATAAATTTTTCAACGTTGATAAAAATTGTTCACATAAAAACTTTATAACTGTTCTTCAATATCTAAAATAATTGAAAATAAAACTTGGAAAATAAAACTTAAGAGTTTACAAATTGTTTTCAAAATAATAAATACAATTCCAAATCCATATAAAAATTCATGTCCTAGAAATCCTCTGCCCTGATGTCACAATATCAGAACATACCCACAATTTAACTATTGACATTCTAGATGCCACTCATAGCTGAATCTTCTTCACCTAAAACATCCACAATTTGTCTTTCTCTCCCTCTCTCTTTTCTCTTTTTACCTTACTTATCGTATTTATATTTATTTTCTTTCTTTACTTTTTCTCTATCTTTCACCTTTTCACTTGGATAGTGTGACACCCTTATTACCCCAACACATATCTTATAATAATGTAAATAAAACTAATGAATAAATTTTTCAACGTTGGTAAAAAGTGTTCACATAAAAACTTCATAATTGTTCTTCAATATCCAAAATAATTGAAAATAAAACATGGAAAATAAAACTTAAGAGTTTACAAATTGTTTTCAAAATAATAAATACAACTCCAAATCCATATAAAAATCCATGTCCTAGAAATCCTTTGCCCCGATGTCATAATATCAGAGCATACCCACAATTCAATTGTTGGCATTCTAGATGTCACTCATAGTTGGATCTTCCTCACCTAAAACATCCACAATTTGTACGGTGAGAAAAGAAAACATCTATATATAAAGCACACAAGGAAAATCCATAACATAATTTCATCATAACTCATTACTTAATGAAATATTCACAAGCATTTCTATATATCATAATTTTATTAATCATGCATCATCTTCACATCACAATTCACAATCACACCAATCCATCACAAATCTTGTAATTAACACTATGTCAACGTCACGCCACCCCTGTAGCATCTCTTGTCCAAGCGCTTTCATTCCAATAGTCACAACTTTGAATTCACTGCACAAACTATGAAATTGGAATTCGTTGTATATCAATGAACATCGCCAAAGCATTTTTTTTCTCACCATTTTTCTCATCTCTTCCTAAAAGCTCAAAACACTTCCTAACAGCACATCAATTTATGCACTGATGGATAGGAAAAACATTTTGGTAACAGCTGTTTGTGTAGACTTGAAGTTGAAATATTAAGGCTTAGTTTGGATAAACATCTCTACAAACACCTGTGGGAAAAACAAAATAAAATGGACCAATAAAGTAAAATGAATCAAACATCTCTCACAAGTTAAGAGAAATAAGGCACAAACTACTTATGTGTGGAAGACAGGTATACGTAGATCACTAGATCTTGCATAAAGTGAAAAAACCTGTCTCATGTTTTAGATCAATACGTTACTATAATAATTAATTTTAAGAAAAATGAAAAGATTAGTGAATCGTAGGTGCACTATATTTCAGAATGACAAATTAATTGACAAAATATTATGTAGTGGGTAGGGTTTTTTTCTCTTCCCATTTGTGTTACGTGCAAGCGACTCCATAAATACCCTTAATTAGTTTGGCTATTATTCTTCCCACTTTGTGTACACGAGTCTCTTGCTATGTTCGTTTATTGTTATTATTATCAATCTCACTACTAAAAAACATGAGATGAAACAATGTAGTATACTACTGCCAGTGTAAAATCCTCTACACTACTGCCATTGTGTGCTCATGATGTATAATCCAGTCTATGCATTGGAAAATTATCTTTGATTTAGCTATGGATAAATGTCTTCACAAACATTTGAACTAAAAGTAAATAAGATGAATTTAGGTAAAATGAATCAAACTTCTCCCTTAAGTTAAAATCAACTTAAGTACCTCAATCTATGGAAAACTTCTGAATATGTTGAGGTACATAAGTTAATTTTAACTTGTGAGAGATGTTTGATTCATTTTACTTTATTGGTCCATTTTATTTTGTTTTTCCCACAGGTGTTTGTAGAGATGTTTATCCAAACTAAGCCTTAATATTTCAACTTCAAGTCTACACAAACAGCTGTTACCAAAATGTTTTTCCTATCCATCAGTGCATAAAATTATGTGCTGTTAGGAAGTGTTTTGAGCTTTTAGGAAGAGATGAGAAAAATGGTGAGAAAAAAAATGCTTTGGCGATGTTCATTGATATACAACGAACTTGAGGAAAAGGTTCTCCTTCCAGGGCTTTCCCTTTCTACGACAGAGCAAATGCTCAGTTTCTCAAATTACAACAAAACAGAAAGCTCACTTTTCTACCCTCTCCAACCATTTAAGCCAATTCCATAACTTTACGACTTTAACTGTCATACCATACTAACTCTCAACTTTTCTCTGGCCCCATCAAGTGGAGACAGGAATCTCCCACTGTAAAGTCAACATCACTGCTTCTAGACATTTATGTCTATATGTTAAAGAAACTGTGAACCCTCATGCACTTTGAAGTGCCAAAGCAACAATTGCTCCATTCTGGATTATCAGAACCCGTGTCAGAATATGGCACATACATCATGTACCCATACTCTTCAATATAGTTGCTAATTTACAGAAGCTGCATATTATTAACATTATTCTTAACTACAGGTTTCAATTTTCCTAAGTTTCTCACTGAAAATAAATGGGACAAGACACAACAAGTAAGGGGGAAAAGTCCACATCATCAATACAGCTTGCCCACTGTTGGATATTCCTTCAAAAATATATTTATTAACCATAAAAAAATCGTGTTTCTAAGCTTGTTTCTGAAAGAAAAATGTGCTTCTGAGGTACATATTAATGTGGCAATCTGGAATTGACTAGGAACAATTATTTAGTTGATTACCTGGTCCACCCGAAGTACAGTGCAGGCAGCATCCGCAGCATATTTAAGAGCGAAGAACCTGAACAGAAACAATAAGATGAAACTAGGCTATCAGGCAATATGAAGATAAAGTCTGATTCAACATAGTATTTCCAATCTTAGCAGTTGAAAGAATACATTAGCTCCATAATTTTTATATGACAAGGCTTTTTAGAGAAATCTACACTACAATGATGAAAAGCCAGTTCATTATTTACACAAACTATGGGGTTGCCACTAGATAAAACATGCTTGTGTTAGACCAAAGCTTACTTAGTCACATGGAGATCCCAAATGCTCAAGGTTGAGACATCCTTACAAACACCTTCTTCCAAATCAATGCCAACTTTGACATTTCCAGATGCATGTTCTGCATATAGAGAAGATATGATCTCCATTGCATTTAGCCCAGCATTCTCAGCCAAAGTTCTTGGAATCATTTCAAAACTTTCAGCAAATTTTGCTATAGCATACTGATCCAACCTGCAGAGCCATTGCAAACATTTAGTCCATCACATTCTCGTGTCAAATATCAAATATGCATTGAACAAAATAGACATGGTATTGACATAACCCAATAAACTACATCAGACAGGTGATCAGAAAAGAGCCACACCTTTGAAACAGAGAAAGAGATATCCAGGATGATAATGAGTATAATAACGATACATTAGGCATACCAGTGAATAATCCCAAAGGGCCAAAAGCCAATGAAATCCAAATACATAATAATGATTGGATGTTGAAGCATGTTGGTATCAAGATGCAGACAATTTAGTAAACAAAAATTGCCAGAGGTCCCAAAATAAACATATTAGAAACTTCTTTTTTGTTTAAAATCAAAATTAGAATAATGGTATAAGTCCACAAGTCTTCTTTACCCACATGTGCATCTCTTCAATATTGCACTTGCTAAAAAATGCTTTACATATTACAAGTTACATGGACTTCAGCATATGACTATCTGGGCTATAAAAGACAAGTATAATACTAGTATGAGAACTCCAAGGGGCAAGAGCCACGGGACTAAAGATTTCCTATAAAAGATCACATTAAGGCTCGGCCTTAAACTCTTATTTCTTTAATCTAGTTTTGGATTTATTTAACAGGGTCAGGCAAAAGATTATCACTAATTGCATGTCTTTTGCATAATATAGTTTTGATTGAGGAACAGAGGGAAGCAGTTAACTTTAAACTAGAGTGTATATTCATTGCAATTTTATCAAGTGACCAGAAAAGTATGACTTGAAAATAAACATGGGAGATGTCATACCACATGTTTCTAAGTTTAAATATCTAAGTTAAATACGACAAAAGAATGGGGATAATATAATTAAATTAAAAGTGGGTATTAAATTAAAAATGGAAACGGGGACAAGGACGGGTACGGGTACGAGGCAGGTAAGTACATACCCGTACTCATACCCGATTTAATATCTCGGGTTTTACTCGTACCCAGTCAAACCGAGTATTTCCCGTCAAAGTCGGGACGGGTTTGGGTATTACTCGCGAGTACGAGTATATTTGTCATCCATAATTACGATAGTATTTAATTATATTAGTTAATATAATATTTTTATAATATTTAAATAAAATAATATTCTTATTATATAGTATTTAATTATATATATATAATTATTAAAATATTATTTAATTAAGAGGAAATGTCCATTTACTCTAGAAATAAGTTTACCTAGACTTACTTTGTTTAATAACTCATGTTCTATATCAAATTTTAATGATTCAACAATTGGATTTAAAGTTTTTAATACATAGGTCAAGTTTGCAAAAAAAAAAATTAAATTTTTTTTTTTTTTAACAAAATGAAGTGCTGCAAAAACACCTTTTCAGTACCTTTTTAATTATTTTTTTTTCTAAGCAGACAGTTTTTCAGTTAAAATTATTTTTTCTTAAAATATTATATCTGAGGATCAAATGACTTTGGTTGTTTTAGAAACTCTAAAAAAATCACATAAAAAATGTTTAAAGAAAAAACCCACTTAATATCCATTTCATTAAAGCAAAGATATCCGCATTTGTTTGTGAAAGTGAATATGTGAAGGTGTCTAGCTAGACCGTAGGCAGGTACCGTAACGAAGTAGTTCCTTGTGTATGTATACGTATACAACAATTATTCCTTTTAAATTCATCCTTTCCTATAAGAGGTTTTATATATTTTCAAAGTAAGAATATATTCACGCACATATTATATATACTCACACACCTAGAAACTAGGTGGATTAGGCAGCAAAGCAGAGGTCGAAGCATTCTCTGATAGGTTACTTTCTTGGTTTGAAAGAGAAACAGAAGTCAACAATATGCCGAGTATCTGAACTTTAACTTCTTGAAAGTGCATGCGTATGTTGAAGAATTAGACCCTGGTTGAGAGGAAGGAAAGTAAGGAGAAATTGTTATTATTTTTTTGGAAATTTAAATGGATGGAAAAGTGGAAGGAAAAAGAATTTCAAACTTTTGTTATTAAAATATCAAATTTCTTTTTTTAATTTTTCTTCGATAAAATAAAATATATTAATATTCATTTTTTTAATATATATTTTTCACTCTCATTTCTTCCAAACATATTTAAGAGTTCAATATATTTATTTTGTTTTTGTGTATAACCTTTTACATAAGAGTTTAACTTTATATATGCGCAGCTAAAGTAAAAAAAATTTACATAGTTAATTAATAAAAAAATCATTGTTAATATAATTCTTAAGATAAATATTATAAAAGTTACTATTTATTACTGTTATAATATTTATGTTGACTCTTAATTAGCAATGTGTATTTTTCTTTTATAGCTTTTCAATGTTTTGATTACTAGGGTGTCATCATTATGAGTGAATATACGGGCAGCAAGTCCGTTTAAGTCTCAATTCAATTTCTCTTCTAATTATGTAAATTTTTTTAAAAAATATGTTCATTAATTGTGTGATCTATTGACTTATCAAATTAGTTTACGTAGGCTTAAGTTCATAAATACTCATCCTTATTCTAGTCATCACATGACAAAATATTATCGGGTTGAGACTTCATGATTTTGTTCTTAAAAGATATTTTTATGGACTAAAAAAAAAAAATATTTATAAATTATTATTAGTCTCAATTTATAAGTGATATAAAGTTGTATCCGTATATTAAAGTATTGGTATTAGAAGGGGTTGGATCACACACATACGAAAGATTAAACCCTTTAATTTCGATCAAGAATTATAATTTTGTTACACTAATAAAGCCTTACATTATTTAAGGACTAGGACTTAAAAGATAATTTATAAATGCTACCTTTTTTTTTAATCTCATTGATGCGTCTTTTTAACACAATATCATGAGATCTAGACGTACTAAAGTGGATACAATATCAAATGTGGTGTTACCCTTAGGAAGATTCTTTTAGATTGTCAATAAAATCAGTATTTGATTTTTGATACAAGGATTATTATGTTAAAAAATCTCCACGAATGATTTTAATACAGGGTATAATGCAACTTGTGAGGTTTTTCTTTTCTTTTCATATTATACGTACGTAAAATGTTGATATATAGCGGTGTGAGGTGTTTTTTCATGAAAAGTAATTGCATAAACTGGTTCTTTTGATCTGATGTCGTCATCCATATTAATTATCATCTCAATAATCAATCTTTCTCCCTCGGTAGGGTCATCCCTCCACTGTATGGCCATTATTAACATGCATTAAGGGAAAATGTTAGCCGGGTAAGCAACTTGAGTGTATGAACTACTTGTGACAAACATTCCATTGCACACGAATCTGAGTTTCAACTAAAACATTTCTCCTAAAAGACTATCTATATATATGCGTTAAATAAGCACTATTTAGTGTGTGTTTGATAAACCATGTAAATCAAGTAATGAGGCAAACGGCCAATGAACGAGAAAACTATAATTTTTTTCCTTCTGTGTTTATTGTTTTGGAACGTGTGAATGCCAATTTTACAACATGATTCCCAAACACAGCTCTATTAACTAGGATTTTTATGCGTGTGGGTAAAGAATCGAATACCCTTTTAATTAACAAACAAAAGATGCCGTTGGCCGTGAAGTGCCACACGTCAATTTAAATCTATGACTGATATTCCTTATTTTATTGTGTTTTTATGTCTTAATCTGCTGAAAGAGAAATTCCAACGATTATTAAGAACGAATATTTCCATGTAGAGACATAACTTTGTGTTATTTGCCAATTGGATTCAAAGGAAGTTTAATTTGGACCATTTCATGTCACATAAGTACCACAAAAATGCTACTCTAATATGGACAACCAAAGACTTCTCAGTATAAGGGGATTTGGCATCTTCAAATTCATCCATGTCTTTAGAGAATGTACAAAATGCTATTGCAAAATTGGATGCCTCTCATCTTCATCCTGCCTGTACTCTATCCATATCCTTCCTGATCGATGAAATTAAACATATTTATTATTCGTCACTTAATACGATATCTAATATGATTTAAAAGAGTAGTTATATTACTTGCGGACTCCTTGAAAATGGTAGCTAAATTGATATTGAAATATATGTAACAGCCGTCATGTTTTGTAAAATTACTGCTTAATATTAATTAGTTTGTAAAACATTAATGTTTTCATTGTCTTGTCAATTGTCATGTACACTCCATTGACGATAATTAAAGTCAATAAATGACAATTTACGTACAATTATCCAAATACCGCTTATAAAACAAGTTGGGACATATTTAACACGTCAATAATGCATATAGATACTTTTCTGAGTATGTTCCATAGAAGACGATTATTTGTGTAAGTAAAATTATTATTCACAATAAAATTACTCATCTAAATATTAAATATTCAAGATAATCACGTAATTAAAAGTCGATTTCAAAATTATTTATTTAAAACAACTTCATATCATATGATCGATCACTCTTCGGTATAATTTAGATAATATAACCAAAACTTAATTTTAGAATTTGTGAAGTCTAATTTTAAAATTTAAATTTGTAAAATTAGCTGTAGATGTGAGACTAGTAGCTGAGTGAAACGAAACATGCCTATCTAAATATGTAAACAGAAATTATTTCCACTTTTATTATTATTGTATTTTATATATAGTTATATTTATTTTGGGTGAATATTTGATAATGTGATGCATTTTAGACAGCCAGCACATGTGATGGGAATGAACGATAGAACATACCAAAATTAGTTTATCTTCTACGTACAAATAATCCATCTTTCCTTTTTCTAGGTGCTAATCGTCGTCGTACTAATCACATGCACTACTTTTGACTTTTTTGGCCTAACCAGAATCATTGCTACTTTGCTTTTGCGTCCATTAAATGGAGAACACGCCAAATGCATGAGCCCCCACACGACAACACTAGAGAGTCATAGCTAGGTTATTGCTGCATATGCATGCCATGGCTTATTACAGATTTCTTGATGTCTTTTCATGGATTCAAAACCTTCCACCAATCTCAGAATGGAAAACAAGTTCCACATCGCTGAGCTTATGTTCCACAAACTCATCTCAACCATCACTTAATCTCACCATATCGAAAAACCTTCACCAACCCTCGAAACTCTCTTTTGCCATCGTCGCAGACTTCAATATCCAAATCTCTCTGTGGACCTCTAAGCCTTTCAAACCTAGCTTTAAAACCATGAAGTTAACAGACCAAGAAACCATTTCAAATCTCCTTGTTAATTTCATAGAAGATATCCTTCGTTACGGCTCCAACAAGAACAGTCCCTATCTCAAGTTCCTCAGACTTGATTCTATTTCAAACTTTTCAGACATTTTCAACCTTGCTTTCCTCACTCTCTTGTTCCTAGTTTGCATATATGAAGCCCCTTCTGATCTTCGTTCTGGTTGTCTTAGCACTTTGAAAGAACAGTTGGCGGGGTGTAGATCAAGGCAAGCATCGAAGTTGCTGATGAAACTTTTGGGTTCTAACTTGGAAGAGCAGTGGATGCGTTCTGTGAACCTTGCAATCACGAACTGGATTGTGGAGCTCCAAGAGGCGCATCACAACACGTTCAGAACACCGTCTCCTCTATTTTCCTATGCATTATCGAATTTTGGGTTGTGGAAGGTTCAGTTGTACTGTCCTGTCATAAACATGGATGTTGTAAATGCAAACAACAATCCTGCTGATGAGAGACTTCAATTCTCTCTCAAATATCAGCAACTTGAAGGTGTTCTTCAATTCAATTACAAAGTCATAATCAAAGAGAAGTGGGTCGAAATCGTGGTGAGCATTGACAACATAAGGTAACCAATAATATATCTATCCAATTCAAAGTGGATAGTTTCTCATATATATATTTTTGTTCGTTATCAGAATTTAATAAATTAACATGAGACTTTTTCTAATTGAATTATTTTAACATGGATGAAACCTAAGTCACTGGTTGTCTTTATATATGTGTCACTTTTTTTTTTCAAACTTTCCATGCAATAACAGAAAAATGACACTCCCACACAATAAAATTAACAGATTCGAGCAAAAAGTTGTGGACTATATGCTAACTGAGCATCTCTTTCACTTAGTTTTAATAAATTCTTTGGATTTTCCCAAAAAAGATAAAGGCAATTTCCAGAGGCAAGTGTCATTTTTCTATTGGAAAAATAAAGAGACACAATAAGAAATTAGAAGTGATCATTTCTATCACAATTTAGAGAGAAAATATTATTTTTCAACGGCTTATCATCTTATTTGAGAGGCAAAAAATTGAGATAAGAATATAAGGAATGAGTAATCTTATCCTTTGCATATATGTGAAATATTTTCACCAACTAAGAAAGTATATTTTCTAGCTGCTATTAAATCATTATCCATGCAATTAATGTTTCCTTCTTTAATTAATATTTAGATTTGTATGGGCAGATGCGATGTTCTGAAACTGGTAGATGAGAGTCTTATGAGAGAACGAGGAGCAGGTGCAGCTGAAAAACATTTTCCATCAAGAATATCATTACAAGTCACCCCCACAGTTCAACACCAAGTGTTGAGCGTGTCCGTTGGGAAATCCTCGGAGAACCCGCGAATAGAGTACGGTGTGGAGAAAGGAATAGAAGCCTCATTTGAGCCACCAAATCCTTACCTGGGACTGAGCGTATCAGCGGGAGAGTCCACAACCGTGAGCCTAAAGCCGTGGAAATTCGAGGAATCAGTTTACGGCTACAGCGCAAACCTGAACTGGCTTCTCCACGACACCACGGACGGGAAGGAAGTGTTTTCATCCAAGCCTTCCAAGGTTGCGTTGTTCAAGCCCAAGTCCTGGTTCAGAGACAGGTATTCCAGTGCTTATCGTCCTTTCACCAGGCAAGGAGGGGTTATTTTTGCACGTGATGAGTATGGAGAAAGTGTGTGTTGGAAGGTGGACAAAGGTGCTGTGGGGAAGACCATGGAGTGGGAGATAAGGGGTTGGATATGGCTCACGTATTGGCCCAACAAGCACAACACTTTCTACCATGAAACTAGGAGGTTGGAGTTCAGGGAAACGGTGTACCTCAAAATTGCATAGCTTAAGAGTTACGTCAAAGAATATCGATTCTGAAATCCATCTATACATATGTCTTGGTCTGTTTTATTTTTTAACATGCACACACAATATAATAGCAGTTAATTTTAGTGCACTATGATTGTCCAAAGTTTGTATTATTATATTATATTATTGTGTAAGAGGACAATTCAACTCAGAATCTTTGCTTCTTACATGAATGTCATATTTTAAGTTTTTAATATTCATGTCTGTGTATTGGTTATTTTATCATTTAATTTTTCATCACAAAAATTGTCATATATGTATATCTTAAAGTTCCAAGATTAAAAGATTGAAACTAAGTTGGATCAATGGAGTAAATTAAACTTGTATCTTGAAAAAATTTTATTCAAAAAAAAATAGTCACATAATTGAGTGTGTCAATTTCATTAAAATTTGTGAGACAAAAATACGGGTGAAGTTAAGTATAAGATTTTTTTTTATCTATATTATAGGTATTTTTTTTTATTCCGTGCGAGTTCATCTGCGCATTTGGTGATGAAACCAAGTGGAAGATGGTGCAATTTAAACTTCTATTGTAATAAAATTTGAAGGAAAAAAAAATTGTCTAGATTTCAACATGAAAATTTTGTTTGATGGAAAATTATATAAGAAATTTAATAACATGCACACTTATCTAAAAGTTTAACGAAAATTGTTGTACTTATTTTTTTTCACAGCTGTTGTACATTTTTTTTAAGTTTGAGAATTAAAATACACTCGACATCGAAGAGGAGGTAAATTATAATTTTCTCATAGTTAATTTTTTTCCCTATATGCACTTGGTTCTTATACGTTCTTTAAGCAAAAAAATAAAATAAAATGAATGTATCTGAGTCCGATTGTCCGATTTAATCAACTTTTTATGTACCTAGCACTCAAAGTGTGTTTAAGAGAGAATATAATTTCTCATTTTAGCCACTTATTAAAAAGAAAAATAATCTTTTTACAGAAAATATTATGTATTAAAAAAATTAGCTTCTATATATTTAAATGTGAATGTTATACAAAAATATTTTTAGAAACTATTTTTAACAGGCTTTTTTTTAGAGATTTTATTATGTCTTATCTAATTCAATTTTTTGTTTATCATATTTATTTATAAATTAAATTGCAATATTTTAAAATAAATTATTAATAATTAAAAATAGTTTTATGTGACAATATAAATTATTTATGTTAAATCTAAAATATAATTTATATATTTAAATAAATTATTTATACAAATTTTAAATATAATTTATATATTTAAATATAATACTTATTTGTTTATTATTTTTTCAATAAATTATTTTTTTTATATTTAAATAATTAAATATTTTAAAATTATTTTTCAATAAACTTGTTAAAATAAAATTTTATTTTGATTATAGTAATAATTAATTATTTATATAATTGATTGATGAAATAATATAATTTTTATATCTTTTCCAAATACATTCTTAATGTATAGATTATGATTTTTCTAAAATTTTCAAAACACGTAAGAAACTTTTGAGATAAAAAATTATTTGAAAAATCAAACATTTAACACATCATTTAAGTAAAGTGTAAATATAAAAATAGTAATAGCTAGTTGTATAAAACAATTTTAGAAACAGGGACCTTACATTCGATACAAGTAGCGAATTTAATTTTAATATATTATCGGTAACATATTAGTTTACACTATAAAATTAATATTTTTTTAGTCACATAAAATTATATGATTGAATTACGATATAAAAATTATTCTATTATCATATTTCAATTAAATTCTTAAGGTATTATGAAAAAAAAAAAAAGATGAGTTGTATATGTGTTGAGATTCCACGCGGCGGTGTGTCTATTAAGTAGAAGCCTACTGCGTTGCATAGGAAATAAGAAGCGATGAGAAATGAGAAAACCATTTATTTACAACTCGGTGGAGCGAAGGCGAAGATTTCGAAGCTTACGTTAAAATTAAATCGTTAACAAGTCCGCATTTCCTCTCTATAAGTTAAGCATTGTATTCTTCCTTTCTCTGCATTCCATGGGTTCCTCCGCTGCCATTCCATCTTTCCACTGTATTTCTCTCTCTCCCTCTCTCTCTATGTATTTGCACCTTTTCTGCTTCCCTTCTCTTTGTTGCCTTTACTTGTGTGGATTTTTTACAACCACATTGCATCTTCATTTTTATGCGCTCTTTCGCGTTATACATTTGTGCGAACCCTCGCGATTTATGACCTTATAATATAAGAATAAACCTTATATAACAAGTCATTTGAATAAACAAATTATATAAGAAATCCTTAAAGAATATTTCCGAGAGGATGGTGCTTTAAGGATCAAATTGATGATGATTTATTCTATAATGTAAATCGATTTTGGATTTAATGTGGACCTTATGAACTGCTGGTTTGATTTTCAAATTTATATGGCCTCTTTGTTTTACTTGGAAAATTACGTTTCATGTCATGGAATGTGGTTTTCACAGCAACATGTTTGTTTTGTTAAAGTTTTGGGGATCAAAATCTGCTAGTACTTATTAGAATTGATTTCAAGAGGGAGAGTTTAATCTAGGTGTGAAACTAGTACTATTTTAATTTTTTTTTTTTAAATATGCATATTTTTATATTTTAAAAGTGATTTATACTTTATTATAACTCGTTTTAAAACATCATCTCCAAATATAAATTATTTCTTTTCAAACACCAATTCTTTCAAAATCAATTCTACCAAAATTTAAACCAAACAAACCCATATCTTGCTTGAGTGGTTCATTATTGTTGTAATATACATGTGCTGGTGCATGTATTGTATCACATCCTCAGCTGTTGATTTTTCATCCGCCATTCTAACTTCGCATTTTTGGTTATGTAGTATACTCCTCACTTTAGAGAAGCCAAATCCTACTTTTTGACTGAATTTCCCTCCCGGATCTACATAGGGTCAATTTTCATAGCCCCTTTCAACGTTATTCCAAAACATGTTTTCTGCATCATTTGCATTATAAAAGTAACACAGCCAGCTGCTGATTTTTCCTCTTTCAAATTTGACATTACCTTTCAATGTTATTCCAATCAGACATTTTTTGCTTTGTCTTCACGATGGTGTCTAGTTTACTTAGTTTAATAACCCCCCCCCTCCCCACCTTAAATATCATTTTTAGGTTTCTGTTTCTCTGTTATAACAGACGTTAGACACAGACATGCACAAGTATTTAAGCATTAATTGTTGTTATCACCGTATTCTTAATGATCATATTGAAAACCATTGCAAACCAGATGCTTAATAGTACTTTTTGACTTCAGGTCTCACAGACACCATGTCTCATATGCAACCCTTGCTTCAAAAGCCAGGTATAATTCCCATCCATAGTGTTGGATGGAACTCTCAAAGCAGGCTTTTCACCCAGAGCTTGGCAGTTAATTCTCACAACAAATGGAAACGAACACTAGTGTTTTGTGCAAAAACAACTGAAGCTATTGATGCCACCAAGTCTGAGGGTGGGTTGTTTTGGTTTTGAAATGACTTGTGTACTTATGATGTTATCGCCACCACCAAGTCTTATTCTTTATTCTTATTATGGTTGTTATTTGATTTATGATTTTTATAACAGACGTGTTATTTAAAATTTTGAAATACATTAATGTATAGAAGAAAGTATTTTTCCTTACTATTCTTATCCAATTTGAAAATTTAAACATCTATGAATGCTAGTAATTAATATGATCATGTTAGAATGCGAATAAGTTGACTTATAAAGGCCACATGTCATTTCTTGTTGTTTCTTTGCCTTTTTCTCACAAAAAAATGATATAATTATTCGGATGCTTAAAATTAGGCAACAATTTTATTTCTGTTGTTGATGAAAATTATTATGCTAATTGAGAAATGTTGTTTACTTGTTTAGAGATCGCATGCTAAAACTCTGTTTTACTCCAAATTCTGAAGAAGTTGGCAGCTAGTGTAGATTTTTCATCTAGCGTTCTTATTCCTAAAGACCTGACAATAATGTTATGATGTTGCAGCTTCTTTAGATCGCTTTCCTGAAAAATCTCTGGAGGGAAAACCTTGGCAAATGTTCCCCAGTGGATTTGAGGTCCACAGCTATCAATCCTTTTAATAACCTCCAACTTCATTGTGTTTCTTTTTATTGATAAATGATACAGTTTGGTGGTAATTAGAAATAGTAAGCCAAAAATCAAAATACTAGAGTATTTTTTAAGTGACACAAATCAAGATACTTAATGTAAGCTTTTAGAAGGAATTAAAGCAAGATATTTTCTACTTATAATTTCTGTCTTATGTTTAAGACTACCTATTGCATTTATTAACAGCCATTTTTTAACTTGAATCTGAATATCTGATAATCCCCGTTAGTTTTTAGTACTATAAATATGCTTAAGCCAAAATTGATTCTTTTCGCACCATTCTATAGGAAAAAGCTATATTGCATGGAATAATTTTCTTACATCTTAAGGATTTTAATGCTAACAGAACTCACCATCTTTCATTATCTTTGTAATTCCTTTTTTGTTGACTTGGACAATGTCTGGTTTGCTTATGATCAGACTCTGATATTAGAGGTATGCGATGAGACTCAAATTGCTGAACTGAGATTAAAGGTGACCTTCTAGTCTCTAGTTTTCTACTTTTGTAAAATTTTGAATACACTTTAATTCAAAGGATGAAAAGAACCTTTAGCGTATGTTTTAAGCTATATGGTTTCCCATTTCCTTGTTATTTGTAAATTACTATATTTGGTTAGTTCAATTGAACATGTAATCTAATGATTAAAAAAAATATATCGTTAGCCAGATGTCAGTAGTGAATGCAGTAAATATGATTTTCTCAACATGTGTCATAGCAAATATTCATTAATGACTTAATGTTAATGGTGCTTTTGTCTGTTTTAGCACATTGTAATTCAAGCTTGAGAGAGTGGTTCTTTTCGGCTTCATACCATATCTGAATATCATATTTTCCTTTTCTTTTTTCATGAAGATTGAATTTTGTTAAATGTAATATTTTATTCAACATTGTGTGTAACTTAGATCCAACTACACCTTTTATTTATACTTGGTTCACCAAAAGAACATGATTTTAGCTTGTTTTATATGCAGATCTCTGAATGATGTTATTTTGCTTTTGTTAAGTTAGGTTGGAGAGACTGAGATGCATCTGAAGCGAACCGTTGGAGTAACTAAAGCGCCTATGGCTAACAGTTCACCAACTACAACACCACCCGTTCCAACTAAACCGGTGGTAGAATCAGTGCCTTCTATCCCACCACCATCACCAGCAAAGTCATCTCCATTTGTAAATGATTCCTTAGCAAAGTCATCAAAATTGGCAGCATTAGATGCTTCTGGTAGCAATAACTATGTTGTAGTATCATCTCCTACGGTATGCCTTGTATAAATATATACTTTGCCCTTTGCTTTCACTGATTTACTATCTTTGAGATGAGGTATGTGGAGTTTACAATCAATTTCTGTATTCTATCTCTTTCCAGGTTGGTGCATTTCGAAGATATAGAATAGTGAAAGGGAAAAGGCAACCTCCTGTCTGTAAAGAGGTACATGGTCTTTCTAAGTCATCAGCTTATCATGACCTAGAATAGTCCCTTTACATTGTGTCTTTTACTGTAAACTCAGCATTGGGAGCATATGCACATGTAGTTTGCATCCTAAGGTTCTGCCAGATCACAAACAAACATTTGTGGTTTGTATATTGTTCATGTTTACCTGTAGCATGTGAAGGGTTATCATGCCATGCTTCAGTGTTATTATGTATCCTGCCTATGTGTCAGCCTAGGTCTACTAGTGGGCCTTTCTACCATGCATGCGTTGACTTTTTAAATCAATTTAATTTACAAAAACAGATTGTGGTGAAAAAAAGTAATTAATAATAATTAATCGAGTGTTGCTGTTAATAAAGTTGCTTTTATTGGGTACATAATATTTTTTTAAAAATTGCATTACCTTAATATAAGCATTAGTTATATTTGTTCACATCAATATTAATTAATAAATATTCTAAATGAATATATATATATATATATATATATAATAAAAGTAATAATTTTCTATTATTATACTCTATTATTTTATATCTATTCTTTAAATTAGAATATGAATTGATTATTTGATTACTTTTGAAATGAACAAACATAAGAGTGACTTCATTACGAAAATTCAAAAACTTTTTGGGTTTAATACATCATTTGTTTCTTGAATTTTTTTGCGAATTTTTAATTAGATCCCCAAACTAAAAAAAAAAACTAAAATTGAGTCTTTCATCTTTTTATATTTTTGTAATTTAGTCCATAGAATTAGACACCCATTTACAATCTGTGAAATTTAACATAATATTTTTTATATCCTCATATTTGAACAGTATTAGATTATTATTTCATGTTATCATCCATACGTATCATGTTATAATTCCTATATGTTAAAATTCTCCTAATCTCCCGAATCACTAGTCTCCCAAACTCTTAAATCCATAATCACTAAAATTTGCCTAATCTCCTTATCCATGAACATAATCTGATGTGGCTGTCCGGATATAAAGAATATTCTGTCAAATTTCATAGATTATAAACAAATGTCTAACCTTAAGGAACTAAATTACAAAAATATAAAAACTAAAAAGATTATGGACCTAATTACTATTTTTTTTTAGTATAGGGTCCTGATTAAAAGTTCTCAAAAACTTCAGGAATCAAATGATATATTAAGCATACTTTTTAAAATCATTTTTAATGTATTTTTTAAATAATTGTACTTTCATTCATTAAGAGAGTCACTAGAAGATGGATTTAAAAAAAAAAAGAAGAATCACTAGAAGATAAGCATTGTGAAATGTTTACAGTTTGATGCTTTGGTGAATTTGCATCCGCATTGGCATCTACTTTGACTCCATCATCCACACTATATGATTGAGGATATGACCATGCGAAGAAGTGTCAATTTTCTTTTCAGTCAATCATATTTATTCCTTAACCTATATATTGCCATTTCAATTTTGTCAGTATTTAAGTGCTAAGTAGTAAACTATAGCAATTGTTGTCTTGGGTTCTCTATGGCCAAAAAATTAGGACAAAATCCCAATATATTCTAACAAAATAGGAATTTATGGCAATCTTATCCATGGAAACGTGCAAATTAAACATTTTTTTTATAGATATTCTTATATAGGTTGATATAGGTTGACCTTTATTTTTTTACCGAGGAATATTTATGTCACATCTTTCAGAAGCTTTGTCAAGTTGTTTGTGGATCTCACTTTCATTGAACTAACTACAAATCATTTTCTTCTTTATTTTCTATTTCATTTGTAGCATTTTTGCATATAATCAATTGTCCGTTTTCATTTTTAAAATCCACAGGGTGATCTAATCAAAGAAGGGCAAGTTATAGGGTATTTGGAACAGTTTGGTACTTCACTTCCTGTTAAGGTGATCTTTCCCTGTTCTCTTAATTGTGGATCCTTCTTAAATATCTACTTTTCCTTACGGTTTTTGTTTTGAAATCTTGCAGACAGATGTAGGTGGAGAAGTGTTGAAGCTTCTCTTTCAAGATGGAGGTATAATGACTATGACCTTTCATTAATTTAAAGAATTTTAGTTGTCCTAATCCCATGAGATTAACTCACTTGGTAGGCTTGCAAGTTCCTGACCATGCCCCTTCTGATGAAACATCCCCTTCCTTTTTCTCTTCTCCCTCGCTCCTAATGTAGATCCCCCATGCCGTAGTAGGTCCCCAACTACCCATAGAAATGCCCAACCTAACCAGGGATCCTGAATTCCCCAGCATCAAAGATATTAAAAATTTGTGTGTGCTACTGTATGAATGCAGGAGCACCAAATGGTTAAACTCATCCGAGGTTTGTGTTTGTCAAACAATGAAAAGTCGCAGGTTCATGAAGTTTTTTAATTACCTCATAAAAGATGCTAACGTATTATACATTGTAGTGTGTGAGAATTTGGGTTTACCAAATGCCTAAACCCTACCCACTGGATGTCTACTTCTTGCACTTGTTAAATGATGATAAGTAACAGGATTTTGAAGATTAATGCGGTTCATTATAATTTACAAGTATATGGCTATTAGGTGATACAAGTTTCATGAATTTTCTAATTACTGATTAACTGGAATTTGGAAGCTTATATTCTAGCTCTCTAATTTCTGCTATTCTGTGTGAACATGGTTCTTCATGATTTTTTGTTTTCTATCCAATTGCCATAGTTACTGCTCACTCCCTAGACTCAACAATATTATGAATATTAACTTACTACTGCACTTTTGATGATTGGCTGTCCACATTTATTGTTCCACTACTCTAATGTGTGTGATTAATTCCTTACTGTTTTTGCTATTATCATTTGCAGAAGCTGTTGGTTACAGAGATCCTCTCATTGCTATCTTACCGTCATTCCAGAATAGCAAGTGAGCTAGCCCATTCTATTGTTGAGGATTAGTCTGCGGCATTAATTTGTTGGGGAGCGGAGATGCAAATTTAATTTGAAGTCCAGTTATTCTTTTTGTTCTGGCAGCAAATAGCTTATATTTATATTAGCAGAAGTTTAGTGATAGATTAAAAAATAATGGTTTGTGCTTATATATTGGGCAAAGGGGTCCTTTGTTGATGACCAAATTTGGTATACTTTTGCATAAATTGTACTAGATTAACTTCTTATGATCCCTTTATTATTTATTGGAGAAGTGAGGCACGCCAGGGCAATTTCAAACGTACCATTTGATTTTGTATTGGTAAAATAATGGCAGCACTTGTTGCCAGTGTTTTCCTGCGTGGCTCCCTTCCTTTTATGAACCAAAATAAATGTGTTCAACTTGGTTGGAGATACTTGAACCAAAATTAAAATGATATGCTCGCATTGCATTTTGCTAGCATAAACGAAAAATGAAATTATGTTGCTTTGGCAAAAATTCTAGTAATCATTAGAAAACCGGTTAGATTGGATTGGTAAACTTAACGGATAATCCAATCCAAAAATATCCTTAACCAATTTGGGTGATCACCTGGGAATGTGTGCTCACTTTTTAGTTACCATTGTTTAGAAGGCCACAATGTTCATGTCAAGATCCTTGAGGATTAAAGGTTAGCGGTATGATTTATTTTAAGGTTAAATTGATTTTTTTTTGTCTTTTATGATATGAAATTTGCACTTTTGATCTTTATATTTTTAATTTAACAATTTTAGTGTCTTAATTTTATAAAATTTGTAATTTTGTCGCCCCATCTATCAATCATTAAAATTGTAATACTTGTGACATAATAGTAGGAGATGATGCAATAATTAATATTTAACAATCCTTAGGTTCAATTATACTTTTAGTCAAGATTTTCATTCTTTTTTAAAGGAGTTATAATTTTTTATCTTATTTTATCATTTTTTAGGTAATAATAATAATTAAAAATAAAATATAGTTTAAATATTTTTAATATTAATTATTATGTCATTCACTTAATGTTAAATGTTAAATTATGACTAATATTTTAATTTTTACTATGTATATTTATTAAGTGGCTAAAATTGTAGATTTTATTCAATTAGAGGATTAAAATTATAAAAATAAAATAATTAAAGTTACATATTTGATATTATAGGAAACCAAAAATATAATTTATCTTTTATTTTTTTTATTATTGCAAAGAGATGGCAAGTGATTCGGCTTGAAATAGTGAATTGAATCAAACAAAAACAACGGAGATTAACATGTTTTAGACAAATCTCGGCGACCCAAATGTCAGTTTTCTGATGCTTTCTAAATTTACCAGTATATGCTGGAAGCAATAACGTTGGTACTTTTTTACTACAAATGATTAAGCATTAATCTACTTGCTGAAACTCCGGCCTCTGAATAAAAAAAATAACTCCAGCCTTGGTCTTCTTGAGATATAAAATGTCTAAATATTTCATGAATGAATCTTTTTTAACGGTACCATGCACCAACCACTCTCTCCTATAAGCATAATTCAAGAATAAACCATTGTCAACAAGAGGATTGTGCTGTGCATCAACATTAAGTATTTTCTGTACCCAACTCCTCATTCATCCTTTGAGCAAGCATCTCTTTGACTCTCTGCAAGGCACGTTCGAGATTCTCTAGCTGCATATTTGGCATAATTCAATGAGTCTATCTTCATTTACTTGTTTTAGTGTTTCAATCTTTTCTATAGAGTGAATGGCTAATTTTTTCCTACTATAAGTAGACATTTTGAGTACTATGTTTTGGGAAATAGCCATCTGGGAAGTAGTTCCATACCTCTTGTACAGCGAACCTGTTATGTATGAATAGTCCACTATACAAGTCAAAACTATCTCTCGTGGTGGTTTCCTTCTGCAATAAGTATTAACATGTCAATGAACTGCACTTTGATGATTATACCATGCCTAGTTGCAAACCAAAAAATGAAAGGAAAGCTTTTGAAGGAGGGACGGGGAAATTTTGAAAACAAGATGATTGACGATATACCAATTGAACAAGTGTCTGAAAGCCCTTTGTATCGATAGGTGTGGACTTGATATCCAGTTCAGCCAATGTCCTGATAAAAAAGAAGGCCAAAGTTGTACCTACTGAGCATGTATATTACTATCTATACGTGTTTGTGCATGGTTGATTAGATGTGTAGAAGGCAACATATATACCTCCCTATAGTGTGTGTGATAAATTGGCTCTTGGCAGCTAGTTTATCATGTTCCTCACAAGACATTTGTAACATCCTGCAACCCTTTTCAAAAGAAAGCAGGGTGAAATGGATAATAAATCACCTTCGATAAAATGTGAGGCACTCACAATAAATTCTTCATGATTACTTATTCTAAGTTGTGACAAATCTTTTTGACTTTTTTTTTTCTGCATTCAACGATTTTAGCATATAACTGTTGTTAAGGTGTTATTATCAAAGCCTAATTCAAAACTCTAACTTTATACTTCATTATTTCATTCTTCATTGGCTGCACCATTAGTTGGAAAGTTTTTGTCATTGATGGCAATTGACCAAGGCAATTAACCTACCTCACTTGCAAAAATTTGGAGAAAGTTAGAGCAGATAGCTTCATCTCGGATTCGCACTTTATCATACACGAAAGTTAGATCTTTCCACCCATCCTTCCCACTATCTGGTCCAAACATTGGGTGCGTGCACAGTATGTCTGACTCCTCTGGCAATACCTGTTATGAAAGATGGAAACAGTGTCCTTGAAACATGATATCTGAGAAATTCTATGAGAGGCCTTACTCTAATGTGAAACTGGTTTGACAATTTTGTTAGATTTTAATAATAACTAAGCTACCCATGATTATAAAACTCCAAATTTGTCCATTCATGACTATATTGATTTTGGTCTTCTTGAAGGATTAACCTGTGTTTCCCGAACTTGTAATGCAGCTTGTAATGGGTAAAGCTAACACAATTAGAAGGGAGGAGAAACATAGCACATTTATACCCAATTCATCCCAAGCAAATCCTTCCATCTAAGGTTATTAAGAAATGGAACGTCCCTATTAATCGCCTAATAGATAAATAAGTCTCAAAGTGTAATAAATGCTCTTAGTTAGTTTTATCTTTGATCGACGTAGGATTAAGATTTTTTAATATATTTCCTTATTTATATTATTATTAGACTTAATACATATATAATAATAAGTGATTCTTTTAAAGTGGATTTAGAATAGTTTTATACCATATTAAAATATGAATTTGAGTTTGATGCAATTTATAAGATCGATAATAATTTTTTTTCATTTATATATTCTTCGATAACCTTATCCTTTGTGAATACAAAAGTCGAGTTTTTCACATGTATTAATATCCTTACACATTTCTTGTATCATAAATTCATAATGGTTCACACCAAGGAAAGCACACATTGTTAAATGTAAAAGAAACAAAAGAAGAGGAATGATCGAAATGAAGCAAGTAAAAGATGAAAGTACCCGAAGTAGAAGATCTCTTGGGTGCTCTTTAACTGAAAGCACATCAACAAAGAGTGTTGGTGTTTTGAGAGGAGTGAGTGGCATAGAGGTGAGAACCTTGGAGAGAGACAGGATGGATGTGCATATGAGTATGACATGGTTGTCGGCCTCGAGGAATTCAGCAACATCCCTGCAGAGAGACATGAGAAGGTGAAGGTTGTCATTGTATAGATAACATAATTGAAGCATTTGTTTTACCTGAAGAATTGGATGCCCATTTGGTGGCATAATTGGGAGTAGTCAGTACGAGAAGTTGCCCTTAGAGTGTGGCCTTGTTTGATCATAGTCTTCGCCAGAAACTGCCCAAAGGAACCAAACCCAACTATGCCAATTTTCAGAGACATGATTGCCTTCTATTCTGTGTTTCACTATACGTGCTAACCAGATCAGATTGGGGTCGGCCTTTAACTCTTATACTTAGCTCCACCTAATATTTGTTAGGTACTGGTCGATTTGGTGTTCATATGATTCATGTTATGAAAAAATAATTCTTGATTGTTAGTTTTGACACATCGTGAAACTTGTGTTCATAAAATATTTTTTTTCTTAGTTACTGCTTTTTGTTTTAGAATTTTTTTTATTCCACCCGGAAGTTATTGAACATGCCTTTGCTTAGTCTTGTGCTTTGCGAGTTGTTTCTTATCAAGTTTTTATTTATTTATTTATACTCTCTGTTCTCTTTTTTATTTTATTATAATTGTTTTTTTTATAGAAAATTTCTGTAGATATATAATTTATCTTTTTTCCAGGTCTGATTATTTGATTTTAAAATAAATAATAACAATTATAATTATAAGTTGCATTTAATCTGTTTTGAAAGATTGTCTTTTTTTTTTCTTCTTTTTTTTTAATCGTGGCTTTTTCATCAGAGAAGGATACTTTTTAAAAACAAAATCTCAAAATAGATATTTAAAAAAGATTAAAAAAAATAGATGAGTTATGTTTCTAAACTCAACTTCAAGAGAGTCGTGTTTCAAAATGCGAATTTTATGTTTTCTATTAATAAAATTTGTTTTTTAAAACATGATTTATTTTTTAACTTTACATAACAAAATTTACTTTGAAGAAGGTTGTACTTTCAACACGACTTAGTTTTTATAAAAATAAAATAAAATAAATTGTGATTTGAAGCATTACTCCTATTAAAAAAAATAGAAGTTGTGTTTTGAAAAATAATTTTTATTTTTAGAGGACTTCCACTTTTTACAAATACGATTTATTTGGTTTCAAATTTTTTTAATATTCATCTTTAATATTTGTAAAGAAAAATTTTTCATTTTGCAAAAAAAAAAAAAAAAATTTAATCATCACTCGATGTCATACTTAAGTTTGATCAATGCAAGACCCGCAAGCTCTTCTTCCTCCTTCCCCTCAACACTCTCATTTCCTCCTCACATCCTTTTCCTTGTTCCAAGTTTCTAAGCTTCCTTGTGGTGTTGTTGTTGCTGAAGGTAAGGAGTAGAGGTGTGGATTACTAGTCAGAAGCACAGACCTTCTCCTTCTTCTTCTTCCTTTCTCTTCTGCGGAGCTCGGATTCTTCTTCTCTAAGGTGAGAGAAGCTAGATTATAGATTAAATTGTTGTATCTGAGTGTAAAAACTCAGCTTGATGTATAAATGTTGAAAATCATTGATTGATTTGAAGAATATCTCTCATTTTCGGGGTTTCGGAAAAATTTGGGAAAATGGTGATTTTGATGCGTTTGATGGCTGCATGTTGAAATAAAGTTTGTTTTTGAGTCGTATGAAGTAAATGTATTTCATTTATGGATTGCATGTGTTTGAGTTGGCTAATTTTCAAGTGTTTGGTTAGAATTTTTGAAGTTGTGAGGGTTGCTGTTTGAGTTCATGCCGAGCGTAGTTCTTGGCACCGGGCATGCGTTCATCAGGGAACTCCATTGTACAATCACGTTGGGTGCGAGGTTGGTTGCGCCGGGCGAGATTAGGAATGGAAGTCTCTGGATGAATCACATCAGGCGTGAGGAGAACCATGCCGGGCGTAATATCAGATAGTGACTCAAAATTTTGAGTTACTGATATGGCGCAGGGTGCGATTTGAGCGCATCGGGCGTAAAGACTCCTTGGGAGTCGACCCTAGTGAGGTCTCTGCCTGATTTGCGCCGAGCGTGAGTTTGGCACGTCGAGCTTGGGAGACTCTTGGAAGTCTCTGCCTACCAACACGCCGAGCGTGATGATGATACGCCGGGCGTGGAAGAGCTTTGGAGCTCTCGGGTTGAGTTCAAGTCGGGCGCGAGTTTACTTGTGCCGGACGTGAGTGTGTTTGATTCTATGATTAAGAAAATGTTGAATATTATGATATGATAAGAAGATGTAGTTGTGTGTTGAATCATAGTTATGTATTTGTGAAGAAATACTATATGTATGATTTGGGTAAGTTACTTTATTAATGACCAATTTTTCGACTTGAGAATTATATTTTTTTTAATAACATAAATTATTTACTTGTCTCGTTAATGACCAATTTTTGACAAAGAATCTAATTATCTTTTAGTAAAGTGCTCCCTCAATCACATGTCAACTTTCGATCATAGTACTCAAAGTCCAAAATCCTATTTACAAAAGTTGAGTTCAGTTTGATTTATATTCAAAACTTTTTGATTATAGGAGTTTGATTTAAATTAAATAAATTCATTTAAAACGAACATACATTTAAATTAAATAAAGTCATTGTTCTAAATGTTATTTGTAAATAAAATTAAAATATAATTTTTTTATTTTAAAAAATGATTATTTTTTTTTAAAAAATACGATCATATGTTTAAAAAAAAACATATATATATATATATATATATATATATATATATATATATATATCATATAAAATATCATATAAACGTTCAGTTTCATTTTAATGAAATAACAGTAAAGTTTAAAGAAAGAGTTAATCACCTATACATTGCCCGTGTAAAGTTTTTTTATACTGTCAATCAATCATATATTTTAATAGTGTCATGTCAGTTGCTTATTTAATGAAATAAAAATAAAATAAAATAATTTAAAAAAATATGATTGGTTACTAATGTAAAAAACTTTACATTGACAGTGCATGAATGATTAACTTTTAAAGAAATGAGTAAGCTTACATAATTGAGGATTTGAGCATTCAAATGGAGAATTTTTTTCTCAAATAATATTTTTTTAAAAAAAATTACAAAAAAAACATCTATTACACATTATTTATCCAAATAGATCTCTTTACTGTTCATACTCATAATTCGGTTCCCAAGGAACCGAATTCTGAGTAGTGTTTCAAATTTTTTTTAATTGTTTTTGTTTTGGGCTTAAGAAAGTGTCAATTTTGTAACTGGAACGAGTCGTTCTCGTTCTCTCTGGAGAACGACCCGTTCTGCTTAGAATGATTCGTTCTGATCCATTCGTCATGTGTATATTTTTTATCTGGAATGGTGGGCTGTTCTGATTTCAGAACGGTCCGTTCTGAATCCAGTTTTCTTCTTCCACCGAAACTAAAACGCAAAAAAAAAAAAAAAAAAAAAAAAAAAAAAAAAAAAAAAAAAAAAAAAAAATAACACTGCTTAGAATTCGGTTCTCTGCCGGGAACCGAATTCTGAGTGTGAACAGTAAAGAGGTCTATTTGTGTAAATAATGTGTAATAGATATTTTTTTTAATTTTTTTAAAAAAAATATTATTTAAGAAAAAAATTGTTCAAATGGATTGATTTATAAAAAATGAATTTTGTATAAATAATCCTTTGATACTGTAATTATTATGAATGGATTCTCTAGTAACGTTCAAATGAATTAAATAATGTATTTTGTGTGATATTTTATTATTAATTTCTTTAAAAGCAGTTAATGTGAATGAGGTAGTAGATAAAAGACAAGTGTAAAAAAAAAAGTGAAGTAAATGAGATGGGTAGATCAGATGGTACAATGCACCGACCAAGCAGAAGAGGAGACAAAAATGACGTGGAACCTAATAACCTTGTCTGCAATGCATCATGTCATGCATACCCATGACTCGTTGAATGTCAAAAACAGTGTCCTCTATCCACACGCATCTCACGTGTGCAATAACACCAAACTGTGTCGTTTTAGTTGTCACAAATCACACTGTGTTTGCGTTTATATTATAAATAGGAAGGCAGCCCTAAGGCTAAGTGGATAAGCAGGACGACAACAGTGACTGATCCTTATCGTCTCCAATGGAACTCATTTCCTCTTCATCCGCCTTGAATCCGAACGCTCCAATGTTCGTGCCGCTGGCATATCGTAGGGTGGAGGATTTTTCCCAACAATGGTGGGATCTCGTTCACTCCTCTCCCTGGTTCCGCGACTACTGGCTCCGCGACTGCTTCCAAGATCCCCAATTCCTAAACGACGCCTTCGATTTTGCCTTCCCTCAACATCTCCGTAATTTACTTCTCCTATACATTCTTTTTATTTATCTTTCTTTTTATTTTATTTTATTAATTAATTTGTTTTTGGATGGATGCACAAGATGAAGATGAAGATGAAGATGAAAAGGAGGGGAAGGAGGAGAAGAAGTTGGTGTCTTTGGAAGTGCTCAAATGGCGAACCTGTGGCTGTGGCAGTGGGTCGGCCCAAGCGCCCAGGTATGCGGAAAAGGCCCCTAAGTTTGTCAAGCCCAAGGTCAGCCCACGGGCTATTCACCAACCCCGTTAGACGCAGCCAGGCCCATCTCCCACCGCTTATGTACATAAAAGCGTCACAGCTTTAGTTTATTTGTTTACATTTCTCATTTTAATTTTCGTCTTGTTGCTTCTTGCTCTGCTTAGTGCTTACATAACATAAACTGGGTTTCTTTCACAATCATAACTGCTCGCCTATTGTATTGTTCTAGATCTTTTTTTTGAAGTGAAGTTAGCAATTACTACCGAGTTTAACCAAGAGATTAACAAAATAGTATGGCTTATGGGTGTGTGCCTAATTAATTCAACTATCTACAAGGCTTCAATTTAATCTTTTTAATAGGGTTGCGTTTATTTTTGACACGATTCATGCACTTTCGTTGCTAAAACGAAAGGATCTTCTAATCCGGTGGGCTAAAACAGACAAAAGGGTCATTTGTGGACTTGGGGTGGGCCGGTTACAAATCTTTTGTCATTTTTCATTAGACATTTTCATTAAAAATAGAAAGATAAAATAAATTAAATCTTTTATTCTTTGGGCTAGAAAGCCTAAGCCTAGAAGACTAAAGTACAAGTCCAAAATTAAAGAAGAGTGGAAGGTGTAGCAAACAAAACATCTTATGCCAATATCAAATACTTCTGTCATTTTTTTTTTCTTTTCTTTTCAACAAAAAGAAATATGACAATTTGTTTCATTCCTCTTCAATACAAGCTCTGTTTTTCAACTGCCATGCCACCAAATGGACGCAGACTAGGAGTTATAATTTCTTACTTCTCAACTAACCAAACATTGAAATGTATGATTCTCCGATGGAACTTGTACACAAATATGCACGGCTAACACTTTGCCTAGAGCTTATTTTCTTACAATCAAAATGCGAAACTAATTTTCAATTAACCCTCCCAATTAATGAAAAAAAGAGTGGTGTAATTTCATCATCAATGTTTTGCTTACACAAATAAATTTCATTTATAATAAAACTTATGTGGCTAATAGTAGTGTTGGTGAAATCAGATATAGATCAGAGTTTATTTGAAAGAATTTATTTAAACTTATCCCCATTTCTTTGTTTTACCTCATCTAATCTAATACTTGAACTTCATAAGTATATGACATACAGATATGAGATATATCAGTGTAGATAAATACTTCTGAGAAAAGGAAAGAGTCACTTCGTGTACTATATTTGAGAAACTTCCGAGAGGAAGTACTTGTAAACAAAAGCAATAATTAAAAAATTATTTTTGCATATAGTATTTATATCATAATAGAAATGGTATAATAACAGGTTGAAATAAAACATTAAATATAAATTTAAATTAATAATAAATAGAAAGATTATGTTTCAAATATAGATTCGGCCCTTTTGATTATAAATTAATGAAAAGATGGTTCTTTTTTTATTGTAGATCGTGAGTAATTTTCAAAGTTATAAAGTGTGTAGTATGAATTTAGCCATTTAGGAATAGAAGTGTTAAATAATAATAATAAAAAAAGTAGCAGTTACTAAAATATATCGTATTATAATTTTGAATGTAATTAGTGGAGAAAAATGCGAAAATAGGCTTCCATTTAGCGTGTTTAGGATAAGTACTACGAAAATCACAACTACAGTATCAATTTAGGTTGCTCCATTTGTCAAGGTAAAGGAAATGTTAAACAAAGAGACTTTGCAAATAAATCGAATCATTATTCTCATCAATCTCTTATTTCATTTTATGTCACTCCATCAGATGCTTTCATTCGAAGATTTAAGGTCAAAAATTACAAATTAAAATAGTTAGATATATAATTATACCTCGACAAACTCTACATATACGATATAATTTCACTCCTTATTAATCGTGTGTTTCTTTTCTTGAGGTAAAGAAAACTTTAAGGCTATGTTTGGTAACTGGAATTGTGAATTCAGCAATTGGGTTGGAGTTGAGGACATTCCCATGGGGTTGCATTCTTGCCAATCTTCTGAAGAACTCTAATCACTTCTTCTGTTGTGACATTGCCTGTAACGATGACCTTATTCAACGGTTTGTCCACGTTATACGTCTCAATATCTGCAATCCCACGGCTCAAAAATTATTCAAGGAAGAAAAGTGATAAACAAAATATAGTATATGATTCTTTGTCATTGGGACCTTATATGGAAATTAATTAGTTACCTTCAATCTTCTTGATGGCCTTGAAAATTTTCTTGATACACTCGTCACAGTGTAAACCAACCTTCACTTCCACTACCTGATGACACACAACATAAAACTTTGATCAGTTTTTCTGTCCCATATATATAGCTGAAAACAAAAGGATGAAAATTAATAACAAAGTTGCTCACATTGGCCATTCTAATTATCTCTATGTGGAGAATTGATACAAAATTAATGTGTAGGATGTTAGAAGCCTGGAGCAAGTAGAAGAAAGAAAAGGGTGACTTAGGCACAGTGTGACATACAGCCACATTTATATGAAATAACAATGAGTGGAGAGGGAATGAGATTCTGTGCATGAAAAATGGAATCCTTCACTTTCTGTGATTCCAACAACTGGTGACTTGGGAGCAATTGGCCTCCACTCATTTGGTAAGGTTGGCAACCACAATGTCTCTGTTGGGTTTGGCCAAAAACAAGTGAACAAAGATGAAGAACAAACTAATTCTTGCAACTTTCATTAGATTTGCGACATTTGTCTACTGGGATAACAAAATGCTAAATATAGATTCTCCACGATGGACAATACAAATAGAATTACAACGTAACTTTCTGTTATTATTGTTGAGGTTTAGGAAAATTGACCAATATTTTTCACTTTTAATTTGAGTAGTGGTTGGACACAAGAAAAACTCATTTATTCAATTACAAAAAAATAGGATTATTTATTCTTTTTTGTGAGCACAGCAAAGGTTCTTAGGTCTATGGTTTTTTGGATTTCTTGTGAGATTGACTCCCTATAATCTTAGTATTTAGTGAGTAGGTAAGTGGATGGTCCTTTTCATGAATTTTGGGATATGCTGATTGATATTCATGCTTTGCTTATACATCTCTCATAAATTAATCATACCCATTAAGCTCTTGAAAACAGACCCGAAAAGCTTTTTAAGAGAGTCGTTCATTGTTTAAGTTGGAGTTCAATCCATGAGATTTCTTTAATGTTACTTTTGTGCAACTTGCCTTACCTTAACCTAAAGCGAGCACCAGGAAAAGTTAGCCATCAAATAAAGTGTACCAAACGTCTACAAGCCTATCACAACTTTTTTATTACATCATTCATTTATAGCTTTTTTTTTTTCTTTTATTCTTTTCTGCTTTTATATAAAATATTGCTTAATTTATTTTTGTAATTTTTATTTTTTTTAATTTATTATGGTGGATCAGCCCGTGAATGCATCCTGGATTTTCTAAAGATAGCATCACGTTAGTTTTGAAACGCCGTCAATGTCCCAAGCCAACCCAGAATTTGTTAACTTAACGTCCAAAAGGGTTACCCACATTTCACGTTAAACCGTTGACGAAACAATTCGCAAAAACCAAGAATTCAACCCAACACCCAATCACAGATCGAAACGTGTCATATTCTTTTTTTGGTACCTTTCCCTCTGTGCTCGATCCCAATACAATACCAGATTCTTTGCCACTCCTAGATTTTCTCCCTCTTCTTCTCTTCCATTCTCTCCCAAAGTTTCAACCTTTGATAAAATTGAATCATGGGAAACGCCCTCAGATTCCTCTACAGCCATTGCTGCAAACCCACAACAGCCGGTGATGAGTCACTTGGACCTCACGGTGTGTCCTCAGCCACCGTTGGTGTTTCAGCACTTGCACATGATCTCTTTCACTTTGACATCACCTCCCAGGTACACACACATGTCTTGTTTCTTTCCTTAACCCTCCATTTAGGAACCAACTCTTTGTGTAATTCTGTTTTTCACTTAATTTCGTTCATTCATTTTGTGTGGTCTTTATGTTTTTCACCTAATTTTGCATAGTGATTTTCTGAGGTCTTAATTTTATGCTATCCCTTTTAAATTCTTTTTAGGTCCCGGAAGGACTCAGCAAGCATGTTGTGTCTTCTAAGAAGGCTCAGGCTAATTGGTACACTCACTACATTCTTCTTACTAGGACCTAAGTGCTTAGTAAGCACTTACAAGAAAAGAAGAAAAAAAAAAAAAGCTGATAAAATGAATTACATTTCTCTTGTTCTTCTTGTATGAGTGCTTATTTAGACCAAACCACCTGTAATGAATATTATAAAACGTTCATAAACCTTTACCTTTGAACTATGTGTACCCTTTCTGTTCCTTACAATGTTTTTGAAGGTATAGAAAGTTGGTTGATGCTTGGAAAGAGACAAAGCCCCCTCCTAAGACACCTGAAGAAGCGGCTAGACTTGTCATTCAGACCTTGAAACGACATCAGAAAGCAGATGTTGAGGTTTGCATGTACTTCCAAACTTTGAATTCAAGTATGGCTGTACTAGTATGTCACCTAGCAAAAACAAAGCTCATTGGGGATGAAATTTATGTTGTTTGATATATAGGGATTGTTGGCTTTCTATGGTCTTCCTCTACCACACACCCTCGTTCAAGGAACTGCTCAACCCCCTTCATCTTTGCCTAATGGAGTGCAATTTGAAATGCACACCTTGCCTGTGAGGATATAACATTTCTGTTCAATCCATAAAACAAAATCACATGTATACTAGTGCTGAAAATTTGGTAGTTGATAAAATGACATGATTCATCATTATTCTCAATGGGACTAGGTTGATGCAAAAGCAGTAGCAGATGGTGATACTATAACAGTGTATGTTAGCACAGCAGACTCCAGAGAATCAGCATTTGTCCCTGGCAACGTGCATACAGCAGCTGTGCGAAGATCAGAAGCGCGTGCACGAAGGAACTTCGCAGAAGCAGATGCATTTCACAAACAGATCATTGATTCCGGATATCGGTTGGTTTGTAGTTTCCCAATTCCTTATGTCAATGCTTCCAACACTTCATATTTTTCTTCTATCTGTTTGCTTATTTAGGGTGATTCCTGTTGAAAACGAGGAAATCCTAGCTAAGAAGTATAGGATTCGACTAAGGTAATGATCAAACAAGCACTAGTGTTAGAATGTTCAAGTTGTTGTGCAAACCACTAATGGACTCTAGAAATGGAACAGGGGAATTGATGCACCAGAAAGTGCAATGCCATATGGAAAGGAAGCTAAAGCTGAACTGACCAAGATTGTTCAAGGCAAGTCTTTGAGGATCCTTGTTTATGGAGATGATCGCTATGGTCGTTCTGTAGGTGATATATATTGTAATGGCATTTTTGTACAGGTATTCATTCATTTTATGTGTACAATTCATCATTTTGCTCTTAATCTATACTTGCTATTACTATCTAAGTTTCTTATTTTGCTTTCTTTTGTGACAAGGAAATGATGTTAAAGAAGGGTTTAGCATGGCACTACACAGCCTATGACAAACGACAGGAATTGGAAACAGTAAGTACTAACCCATGTTTTGGTTCTTTATTTATTTTTAAAAGCTATATCCTAACTTTCTTAAGTTGTTATGTTAGTGGGAAAAACAAGCCAGAGCAAAGCGTGTTGGATTGTGGGCTTCAAAAAATCCTGAGATGCCATGGGAGTGGAGAAAGGACAGACGAGAAGCTGCATGACAGCACTTGAAATCACACTAGTGAGTGCCAAAAGAAATTGAGCTTATTAGCACATTCTAGGGAAAAACTCGAACAAAAGGTCCTTCATTCAATGTTAATGTATCATTTTTTGAACAAATTGTATGTATATAAAACTGCTGTCAACCGACTAGATCTATTTTCCAATGGAATGCTTGGATCATTAAGTTAACAAATCTAATTTTGGACATTCTAAACAATTTCTTTTACCAATACGCTTGCGTTTTCTTTTTTTATTCTCTCAACACTCTAACCCTTATAATGTTTTAAGTTTTTACGCGAAAAGGTTGAAATAATATGATGCTACTATCTTTCATTTAAATTAAATTCTATTTATTTTGTTCTCTAATAAATCCTATTACTTTGTGTAAAGTCTTATTATCTTTAAAATATTATTATAATTATACTATTATGCTCTAATTTGATTTATATAATTAAATGATTCTATATATAAAAAAAAGTATTTATTTCATACATTTGTAGGGTTAAAAAGATAATTAAACAAGATTCAAAAATAAATCTATTCACACTGTTTTAAATTGGATTAGATCGTTGCCTTAATTGCATAATACACATTGCCCGTGGTAATTACGGCCTCATGTACGGTCATTGGGAAAAGCGTGAGGGGTGAATCTAATCTCGCATCCACTCAAAGATATGACTTAAATAAATTTTATAAAGCTTGGCTATTCTTCGAATTAACCGAATTTTGGCGAGTAAAATTGGATCTAGCCTAAATTTAATACAAATCATGTTTAAATTTAAAACAAACCAATTTAATGATAAAAACAGATAACTATGTCTCCTGAAATCCTTATCCCTAATCTAATACATGATGGGATTGATAATATCACAGCAATGCGTTCATGCATAAAAATCATTATTGAAGAATATAAACGGTGCGCCTTGTATCTTCGATTGAACAGGAAACCTGTACAAACATTTCACCAAGATCTCTCTGCCAATACCTTGAGATCATTAGGGAAACTCCACAGTTGGAAAACCGAACCTGGTTGTGTACAATGCCCAAAACATTCATTTATTTTACTCTCACAAGAAGGAATACAAGTTAAGAATGTACAATGCGCTCTACAACCATTTTCTCTGTCATTTAAATCATCTCAAATTGGGATAAAATTGTAAAGAAAACCTAGAAAAAGAAACAAAGGGCCTTGGTTCACACGGATGTCTATCCAATTAATTACACAATGTGACTGACAATCAACATCTAAAATCTACTTCCTAAAATGAAATCATGGTTGATATACATGAGTATGAGAGCTGAAAGTATAAATCCATGACTTAGGATACACACTGAGCACAAAATTTAATGGACCATCCCATACAATGTCATGTTCATTAGGAAGCAGAAAACATCCCTGGCTTTTACCTTCATGGACTAAGGAGATTCTCTATGTATTGATAGAGGACTTGGTGGGTTCATTGTTGCATCTTTACCTCTTTCAGGAAACTCTTCTTGTACAGTAGGTAGTGGCCTCTCTGGACTATAATATCCCTTAACGAAACTGCTTGAACTTAGAGGACTAGATGGCTTCATCATAGAAGGGGAAGAGTTGTTACCCAAAGGAGAACTTGTGCCAGATTTTGCTGATGCTACATCTTCACGAGGTAAAGGTGATATTGGCTGTTGATCACTATTATAAACATCTTTCCTGTATAACTTATCTTCTACAATGACATAGCTATTCCCTGTTCTCACTTCTTGAGCAAGAGAGCACCAGCTACAGCAGAGCCAAAGTGTGCAATCAGAAGCTGAAGGCTTGCCAAAACAGAAGTTATAAGAAGGCAAATTGAATCTTTTTCTCATTTGGATCCTCCAGAAGCCACCATACAATAAACCAAAAAAACATAGAATGATCCCAGTAGCTACTAGAGCCTGCCTAACAGTGTCATCCTCAATATTAACAGCAGCCAAGATAAAAATCCAAAAGGGAGCCATACAGAAGAGCATAAAAGTAGCAATATGAACATACATGTTTCCAAAGCCAAGTCTCTCCATGTTCCAACCAAAGACACAAAAAGTGCAGAAAAGTGATAGATATGCTTGAGAAATATCATTCCAAATGTCAAGTATTCCTCCACTCCACTGTGGATTATTTTCAATAACCCTTCGTTGCTGTGTGGATGCAAATGAATATTTCTTCTCAAATGACTTCACTCTCAGCTGTTCTTGCTTCTGAGCAACAGAAGCTTGAACCTGTGCTTCTTCATCCATCTCAGAATCATAATCTTTACCTAGAGGGCTAAGAATGGTGTACAGACCAGAGATTGCGGGCGCACCTATTGCAAAAAATATGCATATTCCAACTCCTATGGCGGGGCGGTCGGATCTTTTATAGCCCCAGTTTAGACCACAAAGTGCATATTGAGCAAAACAGTTCACATTAAGGAGAATGACCACAACCATCATATGTGCCCACTCATGGGGCTTATAAGTCCCATTCTTGCAATAAACCTTTCTAAGCCTTGAGATATCTTGTGGACTCCACCTGCACAGAAGTACAAGATGGTAACACCTCTTTGGATGTTGATACAAACACATCAGTGTAAACAATGCATTGAGTATTTGATTGTTCACTTCAAACCATGCATTCCTCTGGGACTTCCTTGGCAGCACACCATTCAACATGCCAGTCATAACAAGGAACAGAATTGCACCTGAAACAGCGACACACAAGATCCACACAAAAAGGGCTATGTTCATTGGATCCCTAATCCATTCCACACACATCTTCTTCAGTGAACCCCAGTCTAGTTTCTTAGCAAACATGCCACTGAAGCGCTCCCTTAAGCGATTAGAACCTGGGGAAGGCACCGATTGTGAAATCTGGTCCTTCTCGGTAGCCAGCCTCTTGAATTTCGCAGATGCAGAACCAAATTTCAAGAATTTGATCCTATTGGGAATAGAACTCAAGGTGCCCTCAAACTTTCTTTGAGGATTTTCATTGCCGACCAATGTTCTTCGAGAAGATGAAATATCTACGGAGACAAACTCCTCTATTTTACTTCCATTAGATTCCTCAATTTCATCTTTACCATTATCAACCAAAACCATTCTGATTTGAAGCCTGTGCTTTCTAAACGAAAATAGTCAATATGGTAAGGGCACAGTTCACAGACCAAAACCTGCGAGGATAAGAACAGAACATTTGTGCTAAGCTTTCAAAAACCATATCAAATTTCATGTGAATCCATAATAACATATAAGTAATATATACTCTTTAATTAATTAAAATTCACAATTCATATAATAGGGGGAAAAAATCAACAGAAGCTCAAAAGTCAAAACCCAAAATCTAGTTCTAATAATAATACCAATAGATTCAATTCATCTGAAGAAAAAGAGGAGGGAAAAAGGAACAATAGCATCAAACTTTGAAGGCTTGCGGTGTCAAGTGCAAGTAGAAACGTACCTGTAAGCTGACAAAAAAAATGAAGAAAGCGTTGAATCCAAGGAATTTATATTCTCTGCAACACTCGCAATCAACTAACGGAATCTAAACTCTGGAAAGTGGAAACTGTACAACGTAAAACAAAACGGTTCATCAGCATTCAGCACATGGTCAAACAGATTGGCGAATGCCACTTCCCAGAGAAATAAAAGGGAAATGCAGATTGAAAATATTGAAAACTCATTTGGTGGGTGAAAATTGCAAAATATATTTATTTATTTCTTGTTCCTGCAGCAACCGTGACAACTGTTGTGGGAAAAGTGAGAAAACAATGAAAATTTAATTTATCTAGAAATTGAATCATCTTATTTTGTATGCAGAGACGGTCCCACCGGCCACTACCGTGTAAAATATGAAATATCATCTCTCTTTCTTTTCGTGTCACACATTTTTTTCAATCTTTTCTTATTCATAAAATTATACTTCTTGATTACATCATGTTACCTTTTCTCTTTCTTAGCTTATATGATTAATGATCTGTAAAAAAATATATTTTTTCATGGTATCAGTAGAAATATCCATCCTAAATACATTGACTAGTATAAACGTAGTGTATGTAACAATTGGTTAAGCTGTGTTTGCTTTATAGGGTCGATATCTTCTTTTATGTCGGCTGGAGCTTGCATGACTCGCCGGTTCTACACGGTTCACCAATTTAAAATTAAATACATATTGATTAAGATGACATCACTTTGAAGAGCTAAGCCATGTTCTTTAGTTTAGTGTCTATATCATATTACCTTACCTGCTTCACGATATCAATGAATCTTAAGTAATTATTGCTCTATTTTTAAAATATCTAGCAATAGTTTTAAGTATCACTATTGCATTTTGAGGAACTTAATTTTGATAAGAGAAGCCAACTTGATTATAAAAAAATTCGTACATAATGCCATCAGAATCACTGAAATTGAAATTATGTATATTACGCGAAATTGAAATAGTATATAAAAAATCTTAAGTTTAAATTTATTAAAAAGAAACGAAAGAAGTATATTGAATATCATTGATACTTATTGAATGCTTGTGACGATCGACTATATTTATGAAGGAGATGTGTACACGAGTTCTTTTGTATCGTAAAGATTGAATTAATACCAATAATACACGTATTAATTTTAAAAATAGACGACATTGTTGTTTGATGGCCAGCTATATTATTACTGTATTTATTTATTTATTTATTTTCAAATGAGGTGAATTAACTTAAACATCCACTTGGCATGTTTTCAATTATTTTGGTGATGAACGGATTCTTTATTATTTTGTTTGGTCCATCTTGGTAAGCGAATTCAAGCTAAGATTTATGTGAGTTTGACTTAAAATATGTGGATGGTAATTGGTAGATACCATTTGTTGTTACTTGTTACAATAAAATTAACAAAAGAGTTGAGTTTCTTTCATTATGCGCTGAGCTTTAGCTTTAGCCTTTAGGTTGGCCAAATGTTCCCTTCCCGTTGACAATCAAGGTGCTTCCGTTTAAATGAGCCAAAGTTTAGAGAGTAAGAAACATTAGAATCAAAATTACTCTTCCATCCCTACATATACTTTATTTTTACTTTATTGTTTGTCTCTTTTTACAATACTATTTTCGAATTGTCTTTTTGCATTAATTATTTTTTCTAAAATATTTTTTTATCAATTAACAATACTTTTAGATAACAAATAATAAATGTTGAGAATTAGTAAGATAGCTCTTTTTTCTCTTTTATTATGATTTGAAAAGACGAGTAGACACAATTTTCAAATATTAATTAATTAAATAAATAAAATAAGTAAGTGAAAAGAGATGATTAATTTAAAAAAGGCTAAAATAGTATTTTAGTCCCTTATAATAATTATTTGTCTCAATTTATTCCCACTTTTATTTTTGGTCTCAATTTGATCCCTAATAAATTAATTGGTTTCAATTTGGTCCCTAATAAATTAATTTGATTCAATTTCGGACTTCGTCCAAATTATTTAAACGGAGTTAATTATTGGCCACGTGGATGTCACGTCGATGCATAGGTGGATGTCACGTGGATGCCAATTTTTTGAAAACACCTGGAACCAGAACGTTCCGTTCTGAAACCAGAACGGGCCGTTCTTGGTGCACTCTTGGTGTGTAAATTTTGCATCTGGAACGACCCGTTCCAGGTGTAAAATTAACACACTAAATGTGCAACCAGAACGAGCCGTTTTGGTTTCAGAGTGGGTCGTTCTGGTTCCAGACTGCTAAACATAAACGATCAATGATTATAGTTCACGATTGTGAATCGTGGAAGGAAAAAGACCCAAGGTACAAAGCATTTCAAATACCGAATTTGGTAATATTGTCAATGGAAATTGATAACTTCAATTGCTAAACAGTTAGACTATACAGTGTATCATTAAGGACAATGCAGTATATCACTAAAGATAATGGTAGCAGATTTTATTTCATTTCAAACTGGAGTGAACCACTTACTACCAAATTGATACTATGCAGTAAAGGATGAAATGATATGATATTTTTCCTTGAAGTCATTAACGATGTACCCCAATAACAACAACCTGTTCTTGAAGAGGTAGAACCTGAAGTAAAGGAAGAGGATACACATGACTAACATTTCACCACATAACCATATGCAGGGACATATTTAAGTTAATCATAGTGGGGGCACTTGCCCCCACTAAAAAAATTTTCATTCTTTTTTTTATATATAAAATATTAATAATTTTATAAAATATATATTATTAATTATATTTTAATTATGTTGTTATATCTAATATAATAAATATATTAATTTTTTTTATTTTTTATTTTATTATTTAATTATTTTTTATTTTGTGGTAAAATTATCTTCATTTTTAATGAAGAAAATATTTACTTACTTCAAGAGTAAGTCTTGATAGATTTATTCTATTTAATAATTAATGTTCTATATCAAAATTTTAA